ATTAGTCAGTGTTGTTGCAGTACTCTGTACACATGGAAGGTGCCCAGTGACAGTCTTGCTCTTGCTTCCACTGCGGCTGACAGCTGTGACCTCATGGGAGTAGTGTTTCCTTCATTCTGAGCCCTTCTGAAAGCATCTCCCTTAGATTTCTATGAAATATAGAATTTAAAGTTAGTAGTAGCCAATGCTATTAAAAGTACTGCATTAAGATATATGCACATCCTCAACAAAGGGGTTTTTATCACATCTTGAAAACAAGATTATTTTTTTTAAAGCACTTTCTGGTTTCTTGTGCATTGTCATTTCATTCGTATTCTGCAAAACCCTTTTCTGTGTGTAAGGTATCTCAAGTCAGTTCGTAGCACTCTTTTTTCCCCCAGTGCTGAACCTCCTTTGAGCAGAAGCCATCTTCAGTGTTGAATTTTGCAGTGGTTTTTCAAAGCAGAAAACAAACCCTGCTGGAATGTAGGTTGTAATCTCAAGCTTCCAGGAGTTAGGTAAGTCTACATCTATTCTGTTTTGGCACTCTGTCAGAGAGTTTCCTCATAAACATACTGCCTGTCAACAGAATTTTGTAGGTGAAGCAAAATTGTCTTTAAAATTTACCAGCCTAAGTACAAATCTGTTTCTGTCCTTTACTGGAATTATGATATGAAAAATTAGTGACATTTATTGCTCATTCTATGGCCGTTACTTGTTGTAAGGAGTGGAGTTGTGTATGGCTTGGATACAGCATCTGAATATTACCTTTCAAAATTAGACATCAGCATTATTTTTGTGATAGATAACATTATTTTAAATTATCGATTATTTATTCCATAGTGTGTTACTGTTCTTTTATTTGACAAGAACTAGCTGTTACCCTCACATGACTCTTAAAGTATAGTTCTGAGAGAATGGATATGGAAGATTTCTGAATCAAGTCCCCTGCTGCTGCAAGCAATCTCAGCCTATCATTTCACATTTCAGCTTGTGAAATGCTTGGGCCTGTCATCTTAAAACTGAAGTTTTATTTTGGTTTTGTCATTCCTTTATTCTTCTGCACTTTTCAGAAATGGCAAAAGCTGAATGTGATCCTGATTGATGCCTGAACATAATACTTTGTGTTTCCATGAATGGTAAACTGCTCCCAGTCAATCTGTTTCAGTCTGCAGGGGTTAAACACCTCTTTTCAAGATAATTTGGCTTAGTATCTTATCACTACAATGTAGTTCTGTATCCTAGGATGCAATCCTTATCCACCTTTGGGCGAAAGAGGACTCCTCCACCTTCTCATCTCACAGCTTGCTTTCCCTCATTTGTCTTTGTAAAAGCATCATTAAAATGTTCCCTCCATTCAGAAGTAATCTTAATTTTAAAATCATCTAATTATGTGCTTTATTCAGAGAAAAAGCTCCAAGAAGATGACGTATTGCATAGATAATGGATTGTGGCATCAGGCTGCAAAGTGGTGTCACACATAATGCTGTTGCCCTACTTACTTGTTTCATTGGGTGAAAGTTTTAATTATAGCTTTTCTTTCTGACTGGTGACATGTTGAGTGCTCAAAATGTCAGGTCAAAGGTTGAGGGCTAATGATTTAACTAAAAATAACTCCAAAGGTGTTATTTATACCTGAGAAAGAACTCAGGGTGTTTTTACTTGTGTTTTCTGGGAATTTTTTCCTTTGTTTTGGTTTGCTTTTTGTTACTTTGTTTTGTTTTCAATGCAGCCTGATTATGAAATTTTGATTTGGCAGAAGCAGAGGTTATATTTTAGAGGGACCATTGCTTTTACCAAACCATTAAAAATAATTCTCACCACATTTTGTTTCTTTAAAGTTTAATGACATGAAAGAACCCTCTGCTGAGCTGACAGAGGTGCCTGGCAGGACTACCTCACCCTCGTTTTTGAAAGACTTTAAGTATCTTGCTGCCTGCGGTAGGACATCTATATGCCAAGTCTTCCCTGGCTCTGTGGCAGTAACTGCTCATCCCCTGCTGCTGTTGTGTTTGGGGTGTTGTGTTATGCTGTCCTTTCTCCTCCTTCAAATGTCGAGTGTGATCTTGGGTGTTTTGTTGTGTTTTCCTTTCTCTCTGCCAAAAAGCAGAAAGAATAATATGCTAGAGGATGGCCACTCCAGTGTGTTAAAGCAAAACAATGGACTAATGTACTTTTGAAGACAAGAGCGGGTCTGAGCGTGGATGGAGCGCTGGCAGGGCGATGCGAGAGGACTCCACTGCAGACCATGAGTGAGCCCTTTGTTTCTCACGGTTGCCGTAGCTGCTGCAAACACACATACTCATTGCAGAAGAGATGGCAGCAATCGTATCTTATGACGTGGGGGAAGGAAACTCTAGGCTAATTAGCAAGGTTATTCTTAGAGAGATTATTTCAACCTCATCTTTTCATTACTGTCTTTGAAAACATGGAGGTCCCTCCTCTGCAGTGCTCTGAAGAGCCTAGTGCTTCCTACCGCTCCTCAGCTCCCAAGGAGGGACGAGGGACTGCAAAACCAGCGTGCGCTTTCCATGCTTTCACACATGTCCTTCAGGGATGTGACAGTTAGAATGAGACACCTTTATTTCAGTGTTCCTCTCTTGGCAACAGAGGTTAGTTTTTTGTTAACAGTTTTGCCAGAACTCTGTAGTGCTGAGGTTGCATTACTTTGTTTTCTGAGAGCCTTTTGTACTTTGGGAACTAAGCTAAAAATAAGCTTAATCATGAGAGGCTGCATTTTGTAGGACTTGAGCTTCCCGAGTCTTCATATATTTAATGATATTTAATACATGAAAAAGAGGTGGTGATCTACAAATGAAAAGCTTGTTATGTTGTTGTCCATCTCCTGTGTTAGGCAGCTCCTGAAATCAGACCAGAAGTTTCATATTTTAGAATGGCATGGGTTGGTTGGGGTTTTTTTTCCTATTTGAAAGAGCGCAGGAGGAATAAGAGAGAGAGCAGTTCTATGCCAGTCCTATGAAGAAATTGTTCTCTGTTTTTGACTCGCTGCAGGAACTGTCTGTGTGAGAGGAAAGTTGTTTGTTGTCGGTTGTCCCATTTAAGCCTAGGTCTTATGCATTTGGTTGGACCTCTCCCACGTCCTTCCGCTGCTCTTCTTGACCGTGAGCATCCATATAACTCACGCCACTGCTTGATGTGCATTGCTACGGGCTGTCCCTTGTGCACGTCTGTCCACCGCCGGTGGACTGTGGGAGGGGGAACAGGGAAGAAGCAAGAGCGTGTCTTCTTCCTTCCCCAGCTGGAAATCTTCATCGCTACTGCAAGCCATCCCAGGCACCACAGACCTCCCTGAGGAGCGTGCGCAGCAGCCTTGATGCCCACTGTAACAAGAGGTCTCATCGGCGGGTGTTTTCATTTTGCTGTGGCCAAGGCTGGGATCTCTGGCGGTTCAGTCCTTGTAACCTGGACAACACACAACCCGGTATCAAGCTGAATAGTTACGCTTTCCCACAACCTCCCCCCTGAGACTGACAGCTTGGTGTATGTGAATGTGTGAACTGTGCTGTAGTCATTCGCACCTATCGCATGTGTTAAATGGAAGTTGAGAACATAAAATTAGGTTGCTTTGATCTTCTTAACGCTTTCCTATTAAATTTAAATCAGCACTCAAATCAGCCATTTCAACTTATTTCCTTTACCAAAATGTGGAAAATCTGCTTCAACCGATGCCTTTATTCGGTTAAGTGAATCCCACCTTGGCTGTCCCGGAGATGCGCAACGTAACCAGAGGCTCCTTTAGCCTACGTCTTTGTGCAACACGAAGTACGCACTGGAGCTGTGCTCTTATCTGGGGGCTTGGCGATGGTTTTGGAAGATAGGTAACAGCTTGAGAGTAACAACGTGGTCTGTAATTTAGCCTCGTAATTTCAGCAGCAGCTTTTTTTTTTACCATCTCAGAAACAGAATCCCAGATCTTCTGGAGGACCTTTAGGCTACAGAAACCACAAATAGTTTTTCTGTGCATATTTCTTTGCTTCCCTTGCATAGCATTTACTGAGGGCCTCAGCAGGCGTTTGGAGGCCATGCAGACTGTATATGTGCTGCCTGAACGTGTGCGTGCCTGAAATTTCATTCAGTCACTGTGCTGTAGGTGCAGCCTGGTCTGGGGCTCGGCTATACTTTCTGTGTTCCAGCTCCAGCTCTGTAAAGCTTTGGGGTAAAATTTTATTCCTTCTTTCTCTGCTTTCCAGTATGTAAGATAGAGTTAAGCTCACTCAGCTCATAGGAGTATTTTGAAGTCTAATTCATTTTAACTTCTTTTGCTTTGGAAATATAAAATACCGTATAAAGCATGCATAGTCTTTATTTTAAAAGATTCAGGCTATATAAATGCTAATTTCTATCCTTATTATTTTGTAGTGTGTTTATTAGTCATACAGTTGGAGTTTATGGATTGAGCCCTCTTTGAGATGAAATTGTTTTAGTAGCAAATGGAGATTATTTTTTTTAAATGAGAAGAAATTACTTTACGACAAAGGGATTGTCTTCACTCCAGAGCTGCTATCTGTGTCCTGAACAGCCCTGCTTGAATTTTTCAGATTCAGAACAATTCTGGGAAAAGCTGGTGATTAGATCAGAAGGACGAAAGGTTTCTGTTGCTGGCTCTGCTGTTGATTTCTCTGTCTGTAAGATGGCATTAATGATCTTTACTAACGAGCGCTGATAATTTAGTGGAGCACTGTACCACAGACTCTGGCTAGAAGTAGCTGCAGAAGCACGTAGAGAATAGTGGTAACGGGTACTTTACTGTAGCCAGGTTCTCTAGAGCAGCTCTGCTGGCTGGCTGGACTGTCGCAGCAGCATCAATCCTGTCTGAGCATCCCGGGCGCAGGCAGTCCAGTCAGCCATTCGGGCAGCTTGGTCACTAACAGCCTTGTTTGTGCCACGTGCGTTTACGTTATTGCTCTATTGCTAACATTTATGGTGGAAGGGTTGTTGCCAAGTTGGGGACAAGTGTCCTTGAGAGAACAGCTGGTAATTAACACGTCTTTGTGTTTCAGAGATGAGCGAAATCAGTCAATCATTGTCAGTGGGGAATCTGGAGCTGGAAAGACCGTCTCTGCTAAGTATGCCATGAGGTACTTTGCCACGGTCAGTGGGTCTGCCAGTGAAGCCAATGTTGAGGAGAAAGTCTTGGCCTCCAACCCCATCATGGAGGTAAGAGAGCTACCGCACTAACCCCTGCCCTCCAGCTGCAGTTATTATTCTGGGGCTAATATAAACATGCAAAAGAGAGAGCAATCCATACTTTTTTTTTTAAGGATCAAAGAACCTAGAATAAATATATTTTAAAATTTTGGTTTTAATCCATTTACCAGGAGGTGCTTTAGGCATCATTTTGGGTAGTATTTACGAAAGATTGAGAGAAGATGGGAGGTAATGTTTCGGTATTGTTAATGCATTTCACATAACAAAGTAATTTTTGTATGAATACTGCTTTAAATCTATTCAGCTTTGTAACACTGGTAGTTCCCACACCACTTGCCAAATGCAAGTGCAGAAGACCGTTTTTGTGTAAAATTCTGAAGAGGATTAAAACTTCTGGTTTTACCCACTGAACATGTACCCCATCACATAGTGGGGGCAGGTAGATTATACTTTGAAGTGAAGAGAGTTGTTGAGTAAAGCTAATGTTCAATTTTAGGAAATGTGATTAGGGAAGATAGACTGAGAAAGCAAAGTTACATGAGATGCACACAGTTTCTTTCAGAGGGGAAAAACAGAAGAGAAGGTATAAATTTGTTATAGTTAGCTCAGACTAAAGTTTCAGGTCTGGAAATTAGCGTAGCTAACTGTAGTCAAGTCCCAAAGCTGTCGGTGTGGGAGCATAGGTGCTGGCTTTAGACTGTGAGATAACATGTGCAGTTCCCTTCTGCCTCAGGATCTTTATTCTCTGGGAAGCTCACTAGATGCTGTAATTCTGATGTCGTGGCCAAGCAGAACACATTTCTTAGGCTCATCTGAATTGTTTTTTGTGTCTTTGCCTACGTGTGTAGGTTCGAGTTGTAGCTGAAGTTAAGGAACTATGTTAAATGATTCATCGGAGAGAAAGTCTTGGGGGAATTCCTTGAGAGAAGTAGCAGCGTCCATAAGCATGCACATGCGCGTGCCTGTGGACAACCTAAGAAAACGCTTAGGACAGCTGATGCCTTGGTAGATGTTTAGCATCTCTATGCAATAGCGTGAAGTATTAGTGGACAGACATGAGTAAATGGAGTGTGTGCAGTGAAGTGTGAAATGCAAAATGCTGCCGTTGTTTTGTTTCTCAGGTATTTTTAAAAATTAACTATGTTTTATTGCTTCTTTCCTCCTGGCCTGAGGAGTTCATGATACTCAAACTATAGCTGCCCCGTCACAGTTGTGTGTGTTCTGTCACAAGGTAATTGTGCCTGGTTTGTGGTGCTGTGTGGTGTTTTGAAACTGTTTTGTGGGATAAAACAAGCTGTGCCATGAGTGGCAGTGGGCTCTGCTGTTGAGGGATCCGAATGTCCAGTTACGGGAGGAAGCCCGGGAAGCTGAGCCTTGCCTTGAACTGCACCTACCCTGGCGGGAGCAGCCTGGGCCCCGGGGAGCAGTGGCAGTTTTGCAGGTGTGAGCTGGTCTCAGAGTGCTCCTTTCGCTGCTCCAATGTTTGCAGTAAGTGTCATACCATCCTTGGCCACGTTGAGATTCGGTGCGTGGCTCACAGGACCGAGGGGGTGCCCAGCGCCTCGTCTGCCTTCCCCTGCGTACCGCGGCGGTGGTACCTGGGGCCAGGCAGGCGGCCGCGTCCTCGCTGCCTGTCTGGTAAGTGACGGCTACGGGAGGAGACTCTGCAGGGTGGGTCTGCAGTTTGCTGTTTGTTTGATGGGTGAAATACAAACTGTCTGCAGTTTCCCTGTGCCACTTCTTCTGTTCGGTCTCAAAGCCTGAACCAAACGTCCTTCTCTCTCAGTCCTTGGACCCCACCTCCCAGTCAGTGGCCATCAGCTCACCACTAACTGTCTGATTTAGTTTCCAAAGCAAGGAAGTTTTAATTGAGGACTAGAAATAAACGTTCCATCCATGCCTTTTTTCATCCAGTAAAAAACAATGGTGGTGCTTTATTTTTATTTTCTAGGGGTAACAATGATTTCATGAACCTGGGTATATCTAAAATTTCAGTTACTTTAAATGTTGTTATAATTGGATGAAAGTTATCCTTTTAACTTCAAACACTTGAACTTTAAATAAGCTTTAGAATGAGCGTTGTGAAATGCGCTGTTGAGACAGACTCTAGGATAGCAAAATTAATGTTTCGAACTCTTCAGTTGATAAGTCAGCAGAAATACAAATTAACCCATGTAGATTAGGAAGAAAATGAATACTTCATTTTAGAAACAGGAAACTCCTCATTTGCTAAGATGATTGTAAAATCTTAAGAGCAGAAGGTAATTTTATTTTTTAATTTCTATTTGGACAACCTAAACATCAGCATTTTATGAGCTACCATCATGAGTGTCAGAATTTCACATCATCTTTGCCTACTAGATACTCTGTAATATCAAGTGACCACTATACATTTCCAGCAACTATTTGAATAATTAGTTTTCTAGTCAATGACTACATACAGTTTTCATATTGCAGATATAGAAATTGTGAAGTCTTAAACCACATCTTTATATGTAATTTCCTGCCTCTCATTCTTTTGTTACCCTGTATAGCTATGCTAATTGTTCAGCTTAGTATGTACTCTGGTAAGCAATCTTATAATACCAAAGACTTTCTTAACTATTTTTATAAGTAACACCTTTCACAGTAGTAGCTGGTTTCTGAAAATATTGTAATATTATATTGCTACCAACAACAACAAAACGTATCACAGCACCAGTAATTTTAAAACACAAGAAATGCAGTTTGAGTACGTTCAGTTTGAATCAATTCCGTATTCCATAGAACTACAGAGATGCAATTTGTTCTTACCTCCTTTATAGCAACTGTTCATCTGATGCCCACTTTGACATCTGCTCGGTCAGGCGTGCGTGCTGCTGCTGCCGTAATGGGGTTTCTGAAAGCCTAATCCCTGCTTCCCATGCTGTTCCCAGCTAGCCCTTCCTGGTTCACTGGCCTTTTGTTTACAGATTTGGAACACCGATACGCAGCATTGCTATTTACTCTCATTTGTTTTTCCCAAGTTTTATTTCAGTGCAGAGTTCTTATGGATGGCTACATGAACTAGGAAAGTAGGACATACATACAACTCTGTGTTCTTTAGTTATCTTTAGTTTCGGAGTTAGGTACTTGATAACACACACACACACACACAGTGGCATATGATAAAACACAGTGTGCTGTATCTGTATTACTCCCAAATGCCATTCCTTTTGATACAGAGATATCTTTAGGATTTTTTTGGAAGGTGAGTTGCTATATGATGTCTAAAACATGATCTAATTGAGAAGAGAAAATGCTTTTCTTTGAAGTTCAGCATGTTGCGATTTGCATGCCTTGAATTCTGATAGATCCAGCTAGTGCCTGTTGTGGGTGAATCCTAACGCTGATGAGGTGAGGCAGGCATCCACTAAGACCGTTTAGGAGCCACAGTCATCATTTGCCCTGGGCATCCCAAAACCACGTATTATAGAGGAAATACATTGAATATTGTTTATTGTGTATGAAGCTTCATGGAATTAATCTAAGAAAGTTAGGCACATAGGGCAGCATTGAAGACTGTCTCCGAGTCGGTAACCAAGCTGCTATGGAAGGGATTCAGTTTCAGGCAAATGACATGATTCTGTACATGTTAATTTTTAGGTTATACTTAGGCACACAGTAAATATCTTATAATGATATATTTGCAGAAGTAGTTTGGAAATGTGGTTCATTGTAGAGTAATAATAACGAATTGTTAGCCGGACAGGACATAGGGGCTGTTTGCTGGACTATGGGTTTATGATAGGTAGACTTACAGAGGTTGCAAGTACTATACATATATCTGTACACATACATATATGAATATATACAGTGTGAAATAATTATTATAGTTTTATTAAGTCCTTAGAAGAAATCTGGGTGTATGTGAGCATTCTGTTAGACTCTTTGATTCCTTTTAGAAGACTTCAGAGAGCAATAAAAGGATTTTCACCTGGAAAATTAGACTACGTGGAAGTGAAATCATTGCTAGGGAGATCAGCTCCCAATCTTGCGTTCATGAAATAACCATATTTTGGTGTAACTTGCTGACCAGGTGGAGATTGTTCTTTATTAAATTCTTGATTATTTTGAAACCAGGACAAAATTAATGTTGTTAAGTGTTTATGAGTCATGTAGATGATTAAATAGATTTGATAATCTCTAAAAGCTGTTTAACCTTTACAATATTCTCTTTTTTCAGTCTATTGGAAATGCCAAAACTACGAGGAATGACAACAGCAGTCGCTTTGGGAAATACATTGAGATTGGTTTTGATAAGAGGTATCGAATCATTGGTGCTAACATGAGAACTTACCTCTTGGAAAAATCAAGAGTGGTGTTTCAGGTAATATTGATGTAATCATCTCACTGTATATTTGTGTGACTGTGCTAAAAAAAAAAAAAAAAAGCTATTGCTTGATTATACTAGTTATCTCTCCTAAGAGATGACTGTAATAGTGTATTTGTAATATAACACATGTGGGGAGGGGGGAGAAAAAGAAAACCAAGTCAGCCCTTCATTATGTGAATTATTCGTAGCTGTAAAATGTGTATTAAAAAGGCTGTGTATTTAAACATTAAATACTTCCAGTGCACTACTAGGTATGAGTTTGTGCTTACCGTAGTATTGTAGAGTAGGGCTTCAAAACCTAGCAGAAACCACTCATGCTCAAGAAGAGCTCTCTGTTGTGGTTTTTAAAGCTGCCATCTTAGCTCACTTTCAATCTCTTGTTAAAACTCACTGCTATTGCAATAATTACAAATGAGTCTTAATTGCCATTATTTAGGCAAATGAGAATATGTAATTTCATCTTTCTTGAACTCTCTTCAGTTTGGTATTTCATACTTGAACAAATCCACAACCTTTTTGTCTCCCACACTCCTCCTCCATCTTTGCCTACCTTATAGTCTAGAGCTCAGTAAAAATGACTTATCCTTGAGTGGCTGCCTAAAGGTATAAGATAAATAATTACAGTTTGCATTATGTAGGGGTGTTTTGTGAAATACTGTTGTATATTTTAAAAATGAGAGCCTTATTGCACACGGTTTAGCTGAAAGAGAGTGTTTTTCTTTTTTTTTTTTTGTTTTGTTTGAAGTTATGAAATTTACAGTGCTTAAGTTCAGAATTATGATGTTGGTCATGAGTCATAACCTTCTGAGCTGTGTTTGTCCTTCATTTTAAAATTCCAGCTTTGCCTTGGCAAGAAAGATACTCCCTTCACCAGCTTACTATAAATGCTGAGGCAAATGGTATTAGTTATTTTTGGAAAATGAAAAGCTTCTAAGTATGATCATTTCACCCACCCATAGAATCCTGATCTATATTTAATAGTAATCCACCGTTCTGAAAAGTGAAATCATACATTTTTTTGAAAGGAAAATGTCTGCATGCTGCTTGCTGGTGAAAATGGATTAAATTAATCAACAAGGAAATGATAGATGCTGATTTATCTTTCCTTTTTCCATGTGGCTTCTATGCTTTTAATGTAATGCTAGAGAAAGCATTAAACATAATAATTCTTTTGTACTCATGGATGTTTCTGGCACTTGTTAAGTTGTGAAAAATAATCAATTCCTTTCTTTTTAAAGGCAGAAGAGGAGAGAAATTACCACATCTTTTACCAACTTTGTGCCTCTGCAGCATTACCTGAGTTTAAAACTCTACGATTAGGTATGAAATTCACATTCATTGTGTTGTGCAATTGTAGGTACAAAGCAGCATCTCTGAGCTTTTTGAGCCATAGAACTAAATGAAGAATTGCTGGCTTTTAAATTCTAAACTTTTAAACCTTCAAATACTAAAATATATTGAAAATAACTAAAATGGCAGATCTCAGACTTTGTGGGTTTTAGATAAAACAAAAGTAACACATTTGTTTCTTCAGCATACTCTTAACACCCTGCAGTTCTAATCACTAGGACTTACTATGTCCTGGATTCCAGAGTAGCTTTCCAGCGGCGAGGGTGAAATTCTCTTCTCTTGGTCCTTTAAAACCTTTTTTTCCGTGGCTCCAGCTACTAGATAATTTTACCATTTCTGGTATAAGCACCTGAAAAGCTTTATTTTGCATCTGCATACTTTCACTTGGGCTGTTACCAACAATTACTTTACCATCTCTGCTAACCTAGTGATCACAAAACGGTTAATGAAATTTTTCATTTTTCAAATTAAAATGTTGATAAAGGAAAGGTTTGTCATTTAACAGGAACTGGTACTTTGTAAAAGAAAGACGTGACGATGGCCTTGGGACCGGCAATCGCCTGATCATTTTTTAAATTGAATATAAATTTCAGTGCCGCTTGTATATTTTTTAAAGTTAACTTCACAGTGGGAAAACTGCACAGCTTGTCAGTGCTAATTTCTGAAATATCTTTCTGGTTTTAAAGTGTTTCTCTGCTCTTCAGCACCATCCTGGCACATTTAGGATTCACATCTGCTGACACAGGAAAGAAAGAAACTGATGTAATTATAACTAAGGAAGCCATTTAGCAGACTCCTCTTTCAACATTCTTGAAACCTTAGCAGATCAGAAGATAAGGAGTCTGTTACTGCAGCTGGAAGCATGGCCACTGAAACCGTAGGAATTTACACAGTACCCAGGAGAGCTACTGCTCTCCCAGTGAAGCCCAGTACTGTCCCCACAGTGGTATGAAGCTATCAGTTCTCCAACCATGACTTCTCAGACAGAACGGATTACAGATACTCGTAAGACTAAACCAGACCATAAATTAGAAATGAGAAGAAAATGGGCAAAATAGAATTTTTTAAATATCCTGATGCAATAATAGCATAATAATATCTGCTACAGAATTTCAAAGTGCTGCTGCTATCAACTTTGCACCTACCACTTGGGTGGTTGGCTCAGACCTGGAGAATAATTGCTTCCAAAGTGATTATTCAACAGGTGTGGAAGTCTGAATCAAGGTTAGGTAGAGAATATGCCTGAGGGCCTATTGTAGGAACCAGGTAGCTTAAGAATACTTATTTGCATTGTTAAATCTTGAAAAAATTCTCCAGAATAAGTGGGTCCTCTAAGCCAGAAGGCAAAAATATACTGACGTATTTCAAATCATGGATTCTGCCAGGAGCAACTTAATCGTTACACAGATTTACAGATGTGCTGTGAATTTCTGCATCAGTCTGTGTAAAAGATGTGTTTTTTCTCTTACAGGGAATGCAAATTACTTTCACTATACAAAGCAAGGTGGAAGCCCTGTGATTGATGGTGTCAATGATGCTAAGGAAATGGTAAACACCAGGCAGGCCTGCACTTTGCTAGGTAATTTGTAAAACACAGTCATATCCCAAATCCGATATGCCAGCAAGTGTTTTCTACATTGTTTCTGTATATTTTCTTCATACTCTGTTGTGTGTAAAATCAGGAGAGTCTGATAAACTTTGGGACTGAGATACTTTCGTTGCATGAAGAAGGTATTTAAATTGCAGTGGTATCACTCATCTAGTGTAGGAGAAGCACGTGTTATATGAATGTAAATGGTGGATTCCCTTGGTGTAGCATATAAAGCATTGGAGGTCACTGACAAAACACTTTGAAACAGCAAATTAAGTAGTTCATTTTAATGGATTTTTTTTTTTTGCATCTGGTTGTAAAACACTTTTAATAGAAGTGGAGCCAAGCAGTACTGTCAAATGCCAAAGTCTCTGAAAAAAACACACAGCGGTCACCATTTTTCTCTTCTTAATAAAATTTTTCATCAACTGCAGCTCGTGGTTCTTTATTTCTCTCTCCATTCAAAACAGTTTATTCATCATTTTTCAGGGATTAGTGATTCCTACCAGATGGGAATTTTTCGAATCCTTGCTGGCATCCTTCACCTGGGCAACGTGGAGTTTGCATCTCGGGATTCTGACAGCTGCACTATTCCTGTGAGTAGTAGATGAACTGAAGGGCATGGTTTCTATTCTGACAGTTCTGCCTTCTGCTTGTTTGCAGGGACCTCTTCTGAAAAGGAGTAACAATATAAAAACGCAAGCAGTGTGTTTATTTCTAATTTGTTAACATTTCCACAGTTCTTTTTGCAGATGTAGTCAACTCTTCTCAGTTTAGAGGCTTTAGACAGTACTGTCTGTATTATAACAGTGGCTGCCTTAATTTTGTTTCAAAACTGTAGTTGATCTGTCCTAGAAAAGTCTACCAGACAGGCTTGCTTTGAAGTCCTGGACAGGTGTCTTAGGTCTCTATATTCCTACACGAATACATTCCCTGCCCACAGTAAACACTTTGCAGGATTTTTTTTAATGTTAAATGCCAAAATGGCCTAAATAATTGCAAAGCAAATGCTTCGCAAAGTCCTCTGGGATGTCTAGACACTAGCATAGGATATACAGATATGATTCATGTGACTCATCTAAGTGTCATGGTTTTAGCAGTCCTTTTTACCTTTGTGGTGGTCGACAAGGAGGACTGCATAGTCTGATCTGAAAAAACCTCCTCATTCAGCGAGGACCAAGGCTTCTTACTGAAGTCCATATTCCGCAGATGAGAAACAAAAAAGATCTGGCTTGTCACTCTTTGATTCCTTGGATTCACAAGTGGCCAGTTTCTCCTTTTGCCTTTCCTTGAACATCTACTGCTGGACTACACAGCCTTCATCTTTCTTCAAATAGTAGCAACAGTTGCAGGGTTTTTTTCTCATTTTTCTATCAGTCGCTTTCTCAAGAATCTGCAGTAGCAGTTTCTGGCGCTGAGACAACAGGTCCCTTATTGGGCCGCAGATGATGAGTGTGCCTGGTCTGACACCATCTGTCCGTGGCACCTAATGGATAGCTGCTGTGAAACCACAGCAGCAGTCTGGCTCTTCCGTGTGTCTTAAAAAGGTTTTCACTACAAAGAAAGCATAATTTAATGATCACAGGTAGAAAGCTGATGAGCCCCAGCGCATGATGAGCTCGTCTGTGTTGTAATGGTATCTCCAATGCAGGAATCCCACTGAATGAGCTTGTACAAAGCTGCAAGTTCCTGTGGAATCCTATCCTGACGTGATAAACATCTATCTAGCAGGTGGCGGTGAATGTCTGCTCAATGGCATCCGCTACCTGAGCCGTGCTGTTCTCTGACAATAGCCATGTCATTGCAGAGTTCTGTCGCAGTGCAGACTGGTCTGCCTGGGAAGCACTGGTGTGGTGATGCAATGGTGGTGCTCCGGGGAGCTCGGCAAAGGGCTCTGTGTGGTGCTGTGTGAATGAATCGGTTTGTTCAATGTCAGCTTGAGTAACCCTAATGTGACACTCTTTTGTGCAGTGTTCATTATTATTATTATTACTTTATTGTTGTCTTCTGAGCCAGTTAAGGTTGTATGGCTAAACTGAAAGAAGACATGCTTAGTTAACTGGATTTTGGAGGTGGATCAGCACTGCCATGGGACCTGTATGCTGTAAGGACTGGAAGAAGCCCCAGAGAAGTCATAAGGACGTGGAAATAGAAAGATAAAGCTGATGTACCCTGAAGCTACTGGGCATGTAGCAACAGTCCCTTATAATCTGTCCTTGTCAAGACGCTGCTTGTCAGCATGCTGTTGAGCCATCGGGTGCAAAGTGAACGTGATGAGGAAGTAGTGTTAGGGGAGTTCCTTAGGAGGAAAGACCTGTCTGTCCTCCTTGATTTCTAGTTATCAGTTTGCTTGTTAGTCACAAAGTGTAGTATCTTCACTCATGGAGTGGTAAACACACTGGGTGGATTTTCATGCAGAAATCTTATATAACCATCTCAGTGTGCAAGCCTTGCTAGTTGATTTTACCTGGTTAAACAAAGGTCAATTTTTTCACTTGTACAGTCCAATTTGAGAGTTAGAGAACGTCATTTGAGTGCTCCAATCTCTTAATGTTTGTCTCCAGAATTCACTGAGGAAATACTGTGTTAAATACTGAGACCAGAGCACTACAGCCTTTGCACACTTGTTCCTCTTCGTTCTTGGCTTGGGCTGCAATGCCCCATTGCCTGTCACTCCCTGCCGTGGATGTATATGAGCAGACGAGAGCACCACTCAGGAGCTGTAGTCCATTCTGTCCCCAGCACACAGCTGATGTCCTGTCCTCTGCATTTCTGTAGCTTCTTCACTCAAAACAGAGACAGTCAGTTATAAGAAATCAAAATACCAAGTCCATCCCTGTGAAGCTAGGTGATTCATTTTTGCGAAGGTTGTGGGTTCCCTGTGTGGGGCTTTTTGGTGAACACAAGTATAGTAAAATGCCTCTGGGGAAACTGTGAATCAGTAATTTACTTCAGCGATGTGAATGTGGTAAGTGGGTAGGGAACTCGTTATGTTTTGAAGGAGGGAGAGCTGAGGAAGCTGCTGTTGCTGCTTACTGCAGCAGGCAGTTCTTCTGATTGCATGATTGCATGTGTGCTATTGCTAATACTGTTTCAAGACCTAATGAGATTGTTTTTATTAGCCCAAGCACGAACCCCTCAGCATCTTCTGTGACCTCATGGGCGTGGAGTATGAAGAAATGGCCCACTGGCTTTGCCATAGGAAGCTCGCAACTGCCACCGAAACCTACATCAAGCCAATTTCTAAACTTCATGCCATCAATGCCAGAGATGCGCTTGCCAAGCATATCTATGCTAATCTCTTTAACTGGATTGTAGATCATGTGAACAAAGCACTTCACGCTACTGTAAAACAGCATTCTTTCATTGGAGTGTTGGACATTTACGGGTGAGTCTTTTTGTCAGAGATACAACACCTCTTATGTAATTATCTTACCGCAAAGCATCTTTTGTCTTTATCATGTAGCGCTGCGTGGATTGCACAAAAAAAACCAAACCCTGAGCAGCTGCTTATTGCAGCTGAAGGAAGTAGGTGTTAAGTTTTGACATGCTGTCTAAGATCTTTGTCTTGACTTTCAGGTTTGACATTTATAGTGGGATTTCAGATTTTTGCTGTTGGTAGTTCCTTTATGTATTGCATTGGGGAAAGTTACAAGGGAATTGTCATCTCGTGGTTCCTCCAGGGTGGCCCTTCTAGAGAGGACAAAGATAACGTAACACGCTCTCCAGGAACATCAGTCTCTTCCCTGTGTTCCTCATCCCTGCCTAAAGAGGGAGCATCACCGAATTGCTCATGCGCAGCAATTTGCCATTTCCTTGTGTGCTTTGTTGCTTGATTGTGGTTGGTCATACCTGGAATAATGCAATGAATTTGACTGGAGGGAGGGAATTTAAAATTATGGGTCATTTAATCAGTTTTTTTCACTGCACTAGTAATTTTGAGTATCTGCATATTTTAGATTTGAGACGTTTGAAATCAACAGCTTTGAACAGTTCTGTATCAACTACGCTAACGAGAAACTGCAGCAGCAATTCAATATGGTAAGTAGGAAATGACTGGCATTTCCTCTTCCCTTTCCCCTCACCCAAGTCCATCCTGCTAATTGGGTCCCTAGTGGTTACGATGAATTCCTTCAGTCTATTAACCAGCTGTCCTGGCCGTGGGCTTTGGGGGATGGGAAAAGATCGACTATCTCCTAGAAATAGATTTTATGACTAACTGCTGCTCTGGGACTATTTGAAATTCCGATCACAGTAACAATTATAAGACAGAAGCAGTGCTCGGCAATTAAGACCCCGAGACTGCCTGTCAATGAGAGCACCGTGCGGATGAAGTTGGAGTTAGCTGTGTCTCCGTAACCTCCAGCGAGAGCCGGTGCACGGGCAGCAGAGAGCCGGGCTTTGCTGCTGGAAACCTGCCACCCGCGCTTCCTCTCCTGGCGTTATTTTTTGAGGGTTTTCAGCCGCATCCTGAAGTTGATGACTGACGTGTGGCAAGAGGCGCCTCTTTGCTCTCCTCCAGAGACATCACGATTCTCTCTTTCCTCAGCCTTAGTGATGTTTGTAATTATATATCTTACCTGCATAATGACAAGGCAAGTTATTTATGCCAGGTCTGTTGCCAGGCTGTGCTGCAGTACGGGAATAGCTTTGAACTCTTTACGAGCGTACCTCCGTGGCAGCGTGTGCTCACAGGACCGGATCCCCCTGCGCCGTTGTCCATCCTGGCGGCAGGGATGCGTGCCGGGGAGTAAGCCGGGTGCTGGAGTGGTGGTTGGGCTTTCCAGCCCCGGTGCGCCCTTTCCGTGCTGGTAGCGCCACGACTGGCTTCAGCTCCATAAGCGGGATGTCGTAACTGCTAAGCACAAGGTATCTTGGAGTTTTCTCAGCTCTCGAGCAAAAATCTAGTCACTGCAAGAACTGTAAGGGGTCGCTTCTTTAGTAAAGATCGCTGTCACCGTGTTCCCTTCCCTGTCACGCCGTTGCTGTAAGCGTTCGTCTCACGAAGGACAGGGCAACGAGGCTTGCGTGTTGATGCCCCGCCAGGCTACCAAACCCAGCCTCGGTGGACACGGACCCACTGGGCTGCCGTGCAGCTACACGGGGTGGAAGTCGCTTTAAATTAAAGCCCCGTGCCTGGTGGCAGGCAGCAAGCCTTCACGTGCCGCCCGGGGCAGCTGGAGCCCGGCCGAGGGCAGGCTGCTCGGGCACTGCCTGGCCGCCGCTTGTGTCTCCACAGCCTGCCTGGCCTCCCCGGCCACCCTTCCCCTGCCTGGCCACCCACAGCCCCTGAGGGAGGTTACGTCTGAAGACATTTTTCACCACGTAATTGCTAATTCCTTTACAGTGAAGAAATGGGTTTATGTTTTCTTTCAGGACTTAGGTTGGATACGGCTTGCCAATAAAACGCTACCATTGGCTTTCCTGTCAGGAATTAACTTGGCGTGTAACGCAGCCGTTAAGCGGCGGGGTGGGAATGGCTCCCGCGGGCGCCGTCAAGGAGCGCTGCTTTGGGAAGGGTGGCGTTAAGCTAATGAAATAAAAGGGATAAACCACTTTGTCAGGGTAGTTTTCTGCTGTCTAGCAGACATATGCCCGAGAGCTGTGAGGTGTTTGTGGGCTTGTGCACTGAGCTCGGGGGGCAGCTGAGGCCAGGTCACAAATACGGGTGTTTGTGGTAGCCCCCCAAACCCTGCCCACGGCGCTGCTCTTTGCTGCTTGGTAGGGCATGCTCTGAGTTGAGTTCTGCCTGCCAGAACAGTTAGTAGGCATTAAAATTTAAATGGGAGATAAAACATCATTGAAAATAACTGGAGTCAGCACTCTTTTTGTTTTTAAAAAGGGTGCTTGTGCTATTAAGACCACAGTTTGCCTGTTTAATATCTTAATATCTTTTTTCCTGAAGTTTTAACTCATCTCCTGTGCACAGTTCATTTTGTGATAATATTTTTGAATAAATATACAACTACATTGTTATTGATCTTCATACCAGATAGAACTTCCACAAAATGTTGCTTAAAGGATTTCTTGTGCTAATATTCCTAGAGTCATTCTTGCAGGTTTTTGCTGAAGAGTAAATTTTAATGCAATGCGTCATCTTAGAAAAAATCAGCAGCCATTTAAGAGAAAATGGAGCTCTGTTCTTTTACAAGCAAACTGAAAAGTATTTATAGTGAAATTTTACTTGAAATAGAGCAGTATTCATAACTTCAAACCCATAAATTCATGGCACATCCCACTTTGTAAGTTGCTGTTCCTGCTCTTGAGGCTTTTTCTGGGTTTTGTGTTGGTTTTTCATAAGAGAAAAGAGCTTGTAGTAATTGTAGGACAATATAGTAAAAAGATAGGAAAAAATAGACCTTATTTGCAGACAATATGGATAAGTGCTTTAATTTAGTCTGTTGTTTTTAGGCCAGGAAAAAAGGTTAATTTCTTTTTCATATCCTTACTTGTTAAAGGGTTTATTCAGTTGAACCTAGCGTGTCACATGGCAGCCTGGATTATGAACTAGGGTGTCACTTGACAGCCTGGATAATGTGCCAAGATGAATTCAAGTGAGAGTTCAATGTATTTATTCTGCATTTTATTTCACAGACAACTGTTTTCTTTTTGCCCTGTAGCATGTCTTTAAGCTGGAACAAGAAGAATATATGAAGGAACAAATACCATGGACCTTGATTGATTTCTACGACAATCAGCCTTGCATCAACCTCATAGAGGCCAAAATGGGAATTCTCGATCTGTTGGATGAGGAGTGCAAGGTGTGTGTTCAAGGGCTTTCATAGAGAAAGAGGTCATCAGCCGTCCTGCTTCTGGGGCCTGACAGGGAAAAGCCATCTGCATACAGCCATCATTTTGACACTCTGCTGTTGAAAGGATTTGGAGAACGTACAAACAGAATTGGCAATTACAGGAGGAGAAAAAATGGGTTTAGTCACGCTTTTTTTTCCCCCTCCTCTCCATCATGTATCTGTATCTGGGTCTGGGTCTCCGATCAACCTTTGTTTTGACTCTGGCAACTTTCTTTTTCCCGAGTGTAGCAAGTGGAGTCCTTGGTCCTGTCAGACTTCTCCAAATTGCCTCTCGCTCGGTGTCTCACCTTTTGTCTTTTATCTTAGTTTAATTTATGCCAAGCCATGTACAGGGGATGGCGTATGGTGTCTACTTCAGTGGAAACCCAGCTTGGGGTTCTTGTGTATCACAAAGCATCACAAGAAATCTCTAATGGTGGTGGATGAGTTCTGACCCGCTGAGATGCTGCTCAGTCAGATAACGTACCTCTTGGACCCCCCGCCTTCAGGTGTGTGACACTGGGAGCGTCAGTAGCGTTGTACGTGTCACATAGCAGCTACACCTGCCACTGGGCTGTGCCCAGTCCGGAGTGTTAGAAGGGCAAGCGCACAGCTGGTTACTGGCTTCCTGGCTTATGGCAGTGCTGGAAATGCGAGGAGTTGGAGTTTGAAAGCGAACCGCAAAGTCTTGTCCCGCATCTTCTTAGTTTCTTTCGCTACTGAAAAGTTTTCAAGACATTTTAAAACGGCTGTGTGTTCTTTTCCATAGATGCCAAAAGGCTCGGATGACACGTGGGCCCAAAAACTCTACAATACTCATTTGAATAAATGTGCCCTCTTTGAAAAGCCACGTCTGTCAAATAAGGCTTTTATCATCAAGCACTTTGCTGACAAGGTGAGGACTTTTCCCCCGGTACCTCTTTCCGTGGCTGGTGTTGCTGAGCGTGTGTGCGGGAAGGGATCCTGGGGTGGGCGGCTGCTGCAGGCAGCGACTGGGCAGCGGCATCCCTGGCTCTGCCAGGCTTCTTGCAAAACGTGTGCCTGCCTGTACACCCGATCAGGAGAAGAAAGTTGGCTTGGCAGCTGTGCAGAGCCAGGAACACAAACGAGAGCACCTGGCTCCTGTCACGTGCTGTAACCACCAACCATCCGTTTTCGAAACGTGGCAGCTTAGCGTGCTTGCAATTCACAGCATAGTTGTTTCAATTCCAGTTATGCTGTAGAAATGCACAAAATAGAAAATTAACGTATCTTCCTGTAATTTTAACTAAAGAGCAACAACAAAACGATGTTGGTTTTGCTGCCATCTTAATGTGCAAACAGGAAGAAGGCTAACACACCCTTCTTCTTATCGCCGGAGCGGTGTGTACTGCTCCCACCCTCGCCTCTGCTGGTCAGCGAACGGCGATTTCTAGGAAGCTGGACGAGGCGTGCCTCAGTGGAGTGCCTGCATTGTTCAGCTCCCACAATGCATCATCAAACCGAGCAGCTCCTCAGGTTAAAATGAAATCCTGTTTAAGCTAATTGTCCTGTTAAACAAAGCAGCTGCCTCAGAATATTGTCAGCTTTGTCAAAAAAAGTTTGGAGAAGTGCTGGGATTCTTACCAGTAGGTCTGTATGTGCTGACATGGGGGGTTGGAGGCCTTTATTTGCCTCCACTTGCTTTCTCCCAGGTTCTTGAATTCATGTGTAGCAGGAGGGTCCTGTTCTTGTTGCGTCTAGTGTTACCTCAATGAAAGCAGCAAGAACGTCCCTGTAACTGTTTAGATGCATGAGTTCTGGTTTATTTGGCGGATGAGAGAACAAGAAGGATTTAATTAACATTTCATGTACTGTTCATTAGGCTAAACTTTGATATTTGAAAACAAGGCTTTCCTATGCCTAGTCTGAGCAGCGAGGGCCGAGGAGAGCTAAAAGTAGCTCCGAGCAGGTACTGGCAGAGCTCTAAGCTCTGACGCGCTGTCTGTGCTAAGCATTTTAGGCTTTCCTGTGGGCATACGTGAATGCCTACAGACATCTGGAAGGGAAAAACAAAGCTGTAGCTGGCAGGTTAGTAACCGCTGTGCCTTGACGTTGTCTTCTCTGGGGGAAGGCAGAGATTCTGCTGCCCTCTCGTGGCATCGTCGCCCGCAGTAAGGACACGAGTGGTACCCCAGGTCGTTAATGTTCAGGGTGGGCCTTCAGCTGTAAAGAGACCCTGGGGAGATCCTCTGCCTTCTTCCCCCCCTAGGAATTTTTTGAAATGTTTTGCAGCTTGGGGTGTAGTGTCATTGTGTAAGCACCGATAAATGGCCGTACTGGAAGAGAGGCTGATGATGGCTGTCAGTCCGTCTGCTCTGAAAGAACAACATTGTTGTAAGGGTCTGCGCTTCTGCTGACACAAGATTGAAGAGTTAGTGTGAGGCACTTCATGGGAGTTAGCATCCTTACTTTAATTACTATCCAATTCTCAGGTACAGACTTTTGACAGTAGTTCTGGCATTTTGTTCGGCCTTGAATTAGGACAGTGAAATAAATACTAGGTTTTTATCTGATGCTCTGACTGTTCTCTGGTCCAGGAGACTCCACGGCCCTGTGATAAAGGATTGTTATGTATTGTCACAACATTCAGACTTTTTATTGTTTCTGGTAAAAACAGTCTTTCTGAATACAAATGAGCCATCTTCATAATAAGCTGCAGGCAGATCTACTTATTGCCTCTCAGCTGATGAGGTGAGATGAGATACTTTGTTCTGAGTTGCATCTGGATTTCACGCAATTTTGCAGCCCTGGTAACTTCAGTGCAGGAGATGCTCAACACACGTTTTGATTCTTCACCTTTACTGTAACCATTCAATCACGCTGTCTTACCACAAGCATCTCTCAGCACTGAAATATATCTGCTATAATGCAATAACAGTATTCATCTCTATATGTTTTAATGTTTTACGTTTTACTGGAAAGCACTCTCTTTGAGGAAAATCTATATTTAACAAAGATGCCCTTGGGAGCTGATATTTTCAACATCCACGAGAATTACCTGTTTTAAATGTGAAAGTTACAGCTGGTGAGTTCTATGCAAAATATTCTTATTAAATACTTTTAATACTTACTTTTTTTGTAAAATGATTGTTTTCAGGTGGAATATCAATGTGAAGGCTTTTTGGAAAAGAATAAAGACACAGTTTATGAAGAACAAATTAAAGTCCTAAAATCAAGTAAGGTTAGTATAAAGATTATTTTTTTTTCTTCTTTTGCAATTATTAATCCTTGAATTAAGGGTCATATAAAGTTTCTTATAAACCTAGTGTCTTGGTTTTGTCTGGGATAGAGTTAATTTTCTTTCTAGTAGCTGGTATAACAATATGTTTGGGATTTAGTATGAGAAGAATGTTGATAACGCACTGATGTTTTCCGTTGTTGCTAAGTAATGTTTAGACTAAGTCAAGGGTATTTCAGCTTCTCATGCCCAGCCAGCAGGAAGGCTGGAGGGGCACAAGAACGTGGGAGGGGACACAGCCAGGACACCTGACCCAAACAGGCCAAAGGAATATTCCATACCATATGATGTCATGCCTAGTATAGAGACTGGGGGAGTTGGCCTGGGGGGTGCAGATTGCTGCTCAGGAACTGACTGGGCATCGGTCGGTGAGTGGTGAGCAATTGCATAGTGCATCACTTGTTTTGTATATTCCAATCCTTTTATTATTATTTTTATTGTCTTTTTATTATTTTTTTTTTCCTTTCTGTCCTATTAAACTGTTCTTATCTTAGCCCACAAGTTTTACTCTTTTACTTTCCCGATTCTCTCTCCCATCCCACTGGGGGGGCGGGGAGTGAGCGAGCATCTGTGTGGTGCTTAGTTGTTGGCTGGGGTTAAACCGTGACACCTAGGAAGTATTTCTGCCTTTGGTACCAGATCAACTGGAATTGAACATAGTTTGTGTTTTACTTGGCCTTCTGTATCAATTTAGAAAGTCCTGTAGGCTAATTTTGCTCCATGTGAGATCAGTCTATATTTAGCCACTGATTTCACTGTTTGTTTTTATTTGTTTTGGTTCCGCCCTCCGGCCCCGAAAAAACCCCCCAACTTTGCTACATTTTCTGTAAAGTCATCGAGGACTTCTACTATACTATAGTAGTATAAGAAGGCTTAACAGTTAAGCCCTTAATTTTGTAATCTGAAAACAGAAGCTTCTTGTTTGTGGCCTGACAATTGAGCAGAAAATTTCTGGAGGAGAGACAAATTCTGTTCCAGAAGCAAAATGAGAGAGGAATGAAATGTGTAGACCCTAAGGACACGAACCAGAATTTACGGAGTCTTGCCTTCTTGATGTCTATGAAAGAAAGATCACATCTGAACTGAAAAATACTGCATGAAGGAATATTATAGAACAGGCCTTCAGTGGCATCGTCTGCTTTTTTTAATGGCAAAAATGCTAGTTGTGCTCTTCTGAAATGTAAAGGCAATTAACTTGACATTGCGCTGTGATGGCTGTTGGGAATTTGCTAGCTCTAATGGCCCAGGAAGCTGGGTATCAGGGACAGGCTCTTTAAAATTATGCTATTCTATCAGGAAAACCAATATTTTTCTCTTCTGTTTCTATTCTGGGCAGATATCTGAAGCGAAATGATTGAAACATGTAGTATAATGAAAAACCACAGCAGGCTTTCTGCTGAGAGAAATGCTGAAGTGGTTTCAGTGAAGTCAGTTGCTGTGTGTGTGGGAGGCAGGTAGCATCCTCGGGGAGCTGGCGGGGACCGGGTGCCGGTGTAGCTGCGGCTGTGCACAGCGTGGCAGTGTGCTGCGCAGGGCCGGGGTGCAGGGGTGCTCCGAAGGACGGAGGCCAGGGAGTAAGGGCCAATGGGGACATCGCTGCCATGAGAGCATGACAACAGCTTGGGCAGGCTCAGTAGGTTGAGTCAATTCAATCTAAACACCAAGAAACAACATTGTTTTCCTCAATGGTAAATTTCACCCAAACCAGTGTTTAAAAAAAAAAAAAAAATTTCAACTGTGAAGAAAATGGATTTTCAAAAGAAGAGTGTTTCATTTCTATTTTTCAGCAGGCCTTCTTTATTAGTAATTGTAGTGGGACTGCATTTCTGATTTTGTTGTTGTTGTCACTGTTTTCTGGGTTTGCTGTGCACATTCAACAGAAGGTAATTCTAAACTGACTGCATCATCTGTCATCCTGCCCATGCCCACTCTCACATACAGCTCGAATGCTTCTTTGCTTTCCGAAGTGCATGACACACGCTGCTCTTGGCAGGCACTGTAGTGTTTAGCTATTTATTTTGGCCTTCTCTACAAATCCACCCACAAGACCTCTTTGAACTAGTTCAGTTTCCATGCATGTATCGTGAAAGCAACACAACAGTCCTCAGCCTTTATGCTTGCTACTGGCATGTTGTTAAAATCTTGTGTTGTGGCTCTGTATTGAAAGAAATGATCTGTAAGATTGTTAGCAGCATGTCTGTTAAGTTGTCTGAAAAAATTACGGGGAAAAAATGCTTGCTTGCCTGTTTTCTACCATGTGAATTATCTGCCCTTTGATCAGTGTTTTCCCTCTCTTTGAACGCTCCTAGTGTTCTGTGAAACAAAGAAAATTTATAAGATAGTGAAAACCTAAACCAAAGGAAAACACGAATGCCCCCACCGTGTGGATCGTCTCAGCAATGCTCTCTGCTGCCGGTGGCCATAGATTGCTCCTGTCTTCTGCATGCAGTAACTGAGGCAGTGTCTATGAAAGTGGCACCTTTGAAACGCACTTGCCCATTTTTACAGGCAGATTTTCCCAGGGTTGGGAAAAGGGAATGAGTCTTAGGTACTGATAGCTTAGAAGAGCTCATCCATCTGCAGTCAAGACACTGGGGATCCCCTTCCCACCCCTGGTGCGTGAGAGCATCAGGAGTTTCAGAGAAAGCGTGCTGCATTCAGGTCAGTTTTTGTATGGGATGAAAAGACGTGGCTCTGTAGCTCAGACGCCTGTGCATACCGACTCACTCCGTCTGACTGCGGGCAGCTGAATGAGGTGGTGGTGGCCCAATCATCCTGAACTCTGTTGAGTCAGTGGAAGAGACAGGCTAAATCACCCCCTGGAAATGTCATTTGTCCACCAGCTACAGAGGTAGTCTAAGGTGATCGTGCTCCTAGTCCAGCAGACTCAGGTGAGATAAAGCTAAGCTGTGATACTCCTTTTTTTAATTCAGGAACTTAGGATGCCTTTGTAGCATTCATAGTCATTATATTACGCTGGAGTGCTGTGCTGAATGCTACTGAGGAACGTTTGATGCCTCCTGCTAGCCCGTCTGGCACAACCACAGGGCACAAGTACCATTTTGTTGTGCAGCATGTTTCATTGGATGTCGTGCATGCTCACCAAGTTTTATAAGGCAAAACCGGTTTTTTTATTTTTTAGGTTGTACTTAGCCCAAGCACTTTCTAGTACTGAAAATTGAATGCTCCTATCTCTTGGGAGAAAATGCACAGATGCTAGATAAAAGATTATTCATTGACAGGTAGAGAAGTTCAGATTTTCTTACTCTTATAATGCTTCTGAAGTGCTATAGTTGTCAGTAGAAAGACGTGGTGGTGTTATTTTTCATTGTAAGTTACTTCAAAGCAGCTATTATATATGGGTGTATTTTGTAGCCATTAGAGAGAGGGAACTGGAAGCCCTGTGTGATATTTGGAAAGATATTTCAAGTTTTTCCTCCACTCCCACTGGCCTGAGAGTAGATCTTCAGTCAGGTAAATTTGGCTAATGATTTTTTTTTAGTTGATGGTTCCTCTTTGAGGTTGATTATTTCAATTTAGAGTGATAAAGCAGGAATATTCTTTGTTGCCTGCTGGGTTATTTAGTGTCCTAGATATTTCTCAACCACAAAGGAGTCTGGTGCACCACTGGAATATGAGAGGACCCTGTCGTTTCCTCCTTAGATCAAAGCAGCCATATATAATTGCAATAGGTACTTCTGAAACTGCTGTCAGTATCTAACAGTTTCACGTGGAAGCTGTTGCTGGCTCTATGAAAAAAACCCTCAAATCAGAATTTTGTCTTCAGAAGGAGACTCACTGATCAAACCCACAAAATGTTTAGTATTAAGTCATGGCCCACTCACTATACTACTAGCTTGAATGCTTTTTTGTGTTTGACCCTGTGTGGAGTTCAACAAAAAACCTGCGCTTTACAAAAACTGAGCCTGGATTCTAACTACCTTAAGCACAAATGGGTGCAATCACTTGCTGGATTCTTACCCTCTGTATTTTTTCTGCTGTTGTACCAGTTTAAGCTGCTACCAGAGTTATTCCAGGATGAGGAGAAGGTCCTCAGTCCCACGTCAGCAACCCCTTCGGGGCGTGTGCCTTTGTCTCGAACGGCTGTAAAACCAGCCAAGGCCAGGCCAGGTCAAGCCAGCAAGGAACATAAGAAAACTGTGGGACATCAGGTGAGTTTGAAGATGCAGCTCTATTAAGTAATCTCTGCCTCTACCTCCCTCTGTCTCATAGGTCTCAAGGTGTGCTGGTGCTTCTTGGGATCCCTTGTGATTTTTGAGAGAGGTGCAGCTGATTATGACTTACAGTTTGGAGCAAAAATACCCTAATTACTAATGCATTTTGGGCCACAGTTTCAGGGAGCTCAGTTCTTATTGTGGTGCCAAAACCAAAACTCATGTTTTTCAAGATAGATTTAACATGCTGGATGCTGAGAATCTTTGAAAATCTAATACTGGGTCTTTTTGATCATGTGCCACGTTGTCTGACTCAAATCAAAAGTGGGAATTCAGTCCCCAGGAAACTTGGTTCCAGTTATCAATGGGTTAAACATAAAATATCCACGTGTATGTGCCAGAATTAAATTAAAAGTATGCAGATCAGTATGGCTGGAGAACTCACTTTTTCTTTGTTACTTTCCACTCAAAAGATTTAACAGGTGTTTTCTCAAGATGGTTATGTCCCCACTCAGTGCTTTCTATATGACAGATTGTCCCTCAGACTATACATTGGAGCCAAGGGGAACCTTTTTGACAGTTTAGTACTCAGGTTTTATCTACTTGCCAGCCTGTACCACTTTGCTAGTGAGTAGTGGCATTCGTCTTTTGCTTGGGGCTTCCAGGAGGTCTGTGTGGATAAATCTTTTTATGTTACTGTAGGACAGCCTGGAATATAAATTAGCTCTCAGGGAGTGTAAGTTCTTTGTATCAGGGTCCTCTGCCTATTCTTGAAGATGAACCAACCACATCTCTAGGGGGCTCAGAGTTCTGATAAAATCACCAGAAATGCCTGGGCTTTGTCTGCTGCCTTGGATGGTTGTCGATCCCCTAACAAAGATGTTAGCACAGTGTCTGTGCAGTGTCGTGAGCTAGTCAGACTGCTAGGTGAGAATCAGGGAATTAGAGAATGTTTAATGTGCGTATTCATAATTCCTCTGTAACCTTCCCCAAGCAAGGGAATAAGAATAGTTATTCATGCTACTGCACAGAATGCAAATCTGTTTGGCATGTATTTGCGGTACAGGCTGCAAATTCCAATCTGCAATTCATGCAAGAGAACCCCTGCCCAGTTACCATTTTTTATTTAAACTTCATTTCTGATTTTGCAAACAGACAGTCTCCTGAGACTGGTAGAGGCCTAACAGTTTTGTTGTCAGACTGAAACTATGAGTTGAAGTGTTAGGAATACTCTCATACTACTCCTATCAATCAACCATGTATATTAATTTATAAATTTTAAAGAAAGCTAATACAAAAGTGATTTTTATCATATTCTGTGTAGAAACAGAGGTTGGCTTAGAATCATGAGTTTAACAGAAAGAGGGAAATCCATGCCAATACGCTTAAAACATCTAAGACGTGTTTTCATAGTTTCCTTTACTTATTAGAGTATTCTGTGGTTAGAAGGATATACTGCAGCATGTTAGGTATTTGTGGTCCTGATACTTTAAAAGTAAAGCTCCTAAAACTCTCGCATATTGGACTTTCAAAGTTCTCTTCAGTAGGTCCGACACTGGGATCAGTGGAGCTGAAGAGATTGATACCTTTTTTTTCTTTTTACCACTGTTGATTTTAAATTTGATTTTAAATTTCTTTAAAATTAAATGGCTATTTAGTAATATGCCATGAGGTTTAGTCATAAAGAGATTGATTAGACAAAGATTAGGGTAGATGAGACAGTCAAAAACTGAAAACAACTCAGTCTATGCCGTGTTTTTGTAATTTATCACACGCTGATACGGGAGCTTTACTCCTGTAAAGCCTAAGATTTAGAAGTCTCACTGTGTCATAATTCACTGAAAGGTGGTATCTGAAACTAAAATCTATTGCCATAACAAAACCAAGCTGGTGTTTATTACCAAAAGCATTATTACAAATAAGCAAATATCCCTAGGTCCGCTTCCTGAGGTTATCTCAAATATGATTGAGCTTATTGAGGCTATTCCCTGATATTTTTCCCTTTTTCTTTTTCAAAGTTTCGAAACTCTCTTCACCTGCTGATGGAAACCCTGAACGCTACAACTCCACACTACGTGCGCTGTATTAAGCCTAATGACTTCAAGTTTCCATTCACGTAAGCTGGTTCATGTATGGTTCGTATAGCCTGTGCGTGGGAGGGAATTGCCCAAGGCCTTGGAGGATCGAGTTTCTAAACCTTGCTCAGGAGCCAAGTGGTGTGCCTCCTTTCTGTTGTTATGGACTCATTGTGCATGTGTACGTGTACCTACGGCAGGAGATGTTTTGGGATGAATGGAGGGAGAAAGACTTCCTGGTGCCTTTTTTTTTCTTTTTGGTGATATATGAGCAAAAATACCAGCATTTTCATTGTTAGCTGTTTTAAATGTGACTGGCAGTTTGCATTCCTTGAGTTCATTTGACATTTGCTGGAATTTGCTTTTGCAGATTCTAATGTCTTATTCCTTATCTTTTTTCATATCTGAACTTGCTTAGAGCTTTTCTCAAAAGTCTGCTTAGAATCTGGGCACACAAAGTCTCCCATGGCTATTGGGCAGGCCAGCGGGAAGCAGGACAGGATAAGCAGCTTGCAGCAGCCGATGGGTTCGGACAATTCCCCAGTTAGGCTGTCCTCTGTTATCGCTGAGTTGCAGAAGCGCTAGCTGGATTTGTTAACCACCCATCACATCCCACCCCTGCTCCCCCTCTGTGCCACTCCTGTCCTGGGTGTGCGCAGGGCCAGAGGTCCCATGTAATGCAAAACTAGCCCCACACCCACAGCCTCTTTTTATTCCTACCTAGATTTGATGAAAAGCGGGCAGTACAGCAGCTGAGAGCTTGTGGTGTCCTGGAGACCATCCGAATCAGTGCAGCTGGCTTCCCCTCCAGGTGTGTTTGCCACTTTTTAGATTGCTTTCAGCTGCAGCTCTCCTTTCTAAGAGAATTATTCATTGTGGGGACTGACACTGTCTCTGTTTTTGGGACAGGTGGACATACCAAGAGTTCTTCAGCCGTTACCGTGTTCTGATGAAGCAGAGAGATGTCCTTAGTGACCGAAAGCAGACGTGTAAAAATGTCCTGGAGAAGCTGATTCTGGTACTAGAGTTAGTGCTGAGAGCATTTGGAATCTGAAGGAGTAAAGATAGCATCCCTTACACCCTCATAGCCATGCTATTTTAGTACTTCTTCAAAGTACTAACCCACCAATATTAGCACAGGAACTGCAGAATTTCCCAGTGTATCACAGGAAAGGAAGACAGTGATTTTAAGTGTGGGTGGGTTGAGGGTGAGCCTTAACTTGCTTAAGGGCAAGATGCATTAACCACATCTTAAGTAAGGTAGAGTTACCTGGAGGTTTTCTAACGTGGAGGTGTTTCTGTCTGTGTATGTGTTTGTGTCTTTCACACTGGTCCTCTCGGCTCCTGTGCTGAAGTCAACCTTTTTCACTCCTTTCGTCCTTGTGACACTGTCTCCCTGCCTAGCAGCACTGTGGCTGTCCTCGTACCTCAGCAGCCTCTTGCTTTGCCTCCTACCTCCAGTTGCAGCCCTACATTCCCAGGCTGTGCCATCCACACCACTGGCGCTGCACCTGAACTGATGTGTTTCCTGGGATTTCTTAAGGACCGATGAACAGCGGAGGGCAGTCAGGCTCCAAAGAGCCAGTTCCAGCCAGTTCTCAGTAGAAGATGGTTAATCGAGACTTACTTAGAAGTGTCAGTTAGGAAGAGAAGGAGACAAAGCTTACAAAGATACAAAAGCAAGAAAGCTTACCTTGCTGAAGTGCAATGCCAATGTTAGGATGTTTATGGAAACAAAAAAAATAAATACTGTGCAGGCAGGTTGGGGCTCGGCTTTTTAAATTCTGTGTCGTTGGGTGGACTTAACTGAAATCTTTTGGTTTATATGCATGTGTCTGTATTCATAGTGTTAATGTATAGTGTTAAATGTATCCTAAGCTGTAGCTCTTTGACTGCTGTTCCTTTTAACTTATCATCAAACAGTCAACGAAATTAATTTTTTTCAATGTACCTTTGTATATTCTCAGTTTTTGCCTCCAAGGAATACTACAGCCTATAGAGATAGAGTATTATTCTCTTTCTGGATTAGTTCTGAAATTTCAGATGTGTTTGAGCAGCAGTGAGATGCTTTGTTCTCGCTTAGTCCTGATGCTGTAAACAGCGTGTACATGTTTGAAGCCCCAGCTGTTTTGTTTGTACTGTGTAATATGATTGAAGATGGACCGTTCAGAGGGATCATCTACAATTTAAGCAGGAAATTGTACATGTGCATTGCTTGTATTGCTTTCATGCTCTGGGCCCCTTCGTCACCTCCTGTAGCCTACCACATCTCTTACAATTGTGGCGTTCTTGTCTAAGCAAAAATCTCACGTTACTCGTTTAGGCCATGCTTGTAGCCTTACTGTATTAATTTGTTAGCAGAATCATACAGAGAAAATACTCTCCTCCACTACATAATTTAAGTCTAGGTTTACTTGAAAAATTCCACATATAATTTTGCTTCTTTACTAACTGTACTTTCATTTAGCCCTTCATGCATTTTTTTTATCCACTAACATTTAATGCTGTAACTGATGCTCTTTTTACCTCTGAAAATAGGACAAGGATAAGTACCAGTTTGGTAAGACAAAAATATTTTTCCGGGCTGGTCAAGTAGCCTATCTGGAAAAAATAAGGGCAGATAAGTTGAGAGCTGCCTGTATCCGCATCCAAAAGACGATCCGAGGCTGGCTGATGCGAAAGAAGTACGTGCGTATGAGGAAGGCTGCCATCACCATTCAGAGATATGTCAGAGGGTACCAAGCACGATGGTAAGCAACGCTCGTGGGAAAACCCACACTAGCCTCAATTCAGATCCCTTTAAGTAGGACATTTAAATGTGATACATTTGTTCTCTCCTTCCTATACTGGCTGGGAGGAAACGATTTTCCAGGGAAATGAAGGAAATTGAATATAATGAGTGTGTCTGTCCTGCCTGGTTTTGACCTTCCTGAGAGGACAGTAGCACCCTTGCTGTATGATGCTTAGAACAGTATTTTGTTAGTGGGAGCAGAGTACAAGTAGTACTAGGAGATATGTTGCAGGTGAGGTAAAGCAGGACTCTTGGTTGAGTCCTTGTGGCCCAGTTGCTGGGTGCCCTCCCAGCTGGGTCTGTCTGTCCTGCTGGAGAAGCCATTGCTCATCCAGGGTGCAGCTGTGAAGGGAGGTACATCAGTCAGGAGTCATTTGTTTGGATTGACTTCTGAGGGATGGCTGTGGATGGGCCAGAGGAAGGGGTAGGAGTACAGGTGGTATTATTCAAAGACAAGGTAGTTACGAAGACCAAGAATCAACTTTCAGAAAGAGGCTTAGGTCAAGATGCTTTGTAATTGTCTTGCTGAGAGGGCCAAGAACGAGCAAACATTTTCTACAGGTTGAGGTTAGGAGAGGAGATCTGGAAGGCAGCATAGTGGAAATAGCTTTAAAGCTGGAGAAAAAGGTGGTGAGAAATTAAGCTGAGTTTATCTTGTCAGTTCTACAGCACAGTTCTCAGAGGAAGTGAAAATATTTCCCTGTAAAATCTTGCAAGGTTTCTGTTAATTTATCATTCTGTTGAACTGCCACACAGTAGAGTAGCAAGTAAATACGCTGTATCACTCACAACATTAGGAAGAAATGGACATAGAAAATGTAGCTCTTGAGAAAGAGGATAAAGTTACAGGATGTAAAAAAAATAGTATTCAAGCACTGGAAAATAATTACAGGTATTATTTGTAATCTTTTTCTTGCTTAGCTATGCCAAGTTCCTGCGGAGAACACGGGCTGCCATCACTATTCAGAAGTTCCAGCGGATGTATGTGGTCCGCAAAAGATACCAATGCATGCGAGCTGCTACTATTGCTCTTCAGGCTCTCCTGAGAGGTTACATGGCCAGGAACAAGTACCAAATGGTAAGAAATCATAAGGTTTTACTTCTTCGCTCTAGCTTTATTTCCACTTACCTTCAGGACGAAGCTGCTCTGTGGTGTCCCCTTGGGAATCGGAAATGTTTGTGTGCATGCTGTTACACATAATGCACAAACAAAATACCACAGCATGGATTGAAGGACAGCACCTGGAAATTAGAAAGATCTGATACTGCAATCAACGAACTTGTCATTTTAGAGATATTCACGTTGTCATCTAATATGGATGTACTTAGACCTTCAGTGCAGTCAGTGGAGAATCTAGCAGGGATTTACAGCATTTCTCACTTTTTCATTTGTTACATAGAATGTTGAGACACTTAAAATACATATTGAAAATGGCCTTGTGTGAATGTGCCTCCATGAGTCCAAATCAGTATTGCTCACATCAATATACATATGGGATGCACTACTATTCCTATTCCATCCCTAATTTCAATGATTCTGAAATGGCTGATGGAATATACTGAAGGAGATTAATGTTAGCAAAGAGATACCCACAGAAATAGGAGATTAAAACTTAAGTATGGGTTGGGTTTTTTTATGTTGTGAGATTATGTAAGATATGTTTTTAACAGTGATCTGACAGATGTGACAAAGTGAGACATGGGTCACAGCAATATGTGGACTAAAAGCCACCTCAGGAAAATGCCTGAAGTTAGTTGCATGAGTGATACACACCCCATCTGTCCTGTAGCACAGAGTTTTATAAACCTGTTATATTCCTTCTTAATAGAGATGGCAGATTGCTGGAGGGGTCCCCGTAAGGGGTGGTCAGACTTGCCTGTCAGGGATTATCCCCCTCGAGCAGTGAATTGTTCACCGCAGCGAGACATGAAGTTCTGACGACGCACCTGCGGTGTGCTGTGTATACGTTGTCCTCCTAAGGTTGAATTTTATTAAAGCTGAGATACAGGGATGGCCAGAGAGAGAAGCACAAGCTCTGCATGCCAGGGGAAGGTAAACACAGTTGTTCTGAAGTTCACGATGATTGCAAGTGAGTGAAACCAAAAGGTTGCCTTGTGGCAGCACACTCGGGCTGAGCTGTGACTCTGTCAGTAATATATGGTACACGTGTTGTTCGTTAGGATTGTGAAACGTACCTGTTGTTGTTGTTGTTAGAAGAGAGGGCATGTGTTGCAGTCACATGACTAATACAAGGAAATTAAAATGGTTGAATCATCTATTTCACACATCCTGAGGAAAGCTTCTGCCCGAGACATTGCGATGTGCTTCTCGGCTTAACAAGGAGTCTAGTTCCTCCACAGCTTTTACATAAGCTTTCCTGGGAAATACCTGGTGAATTAAGTAACTTTTCTGATACTCTCACCTTACGTTGGTGAGTCCTGTTTCCTCACTGGACTGCATGGGTGTGAGAATTCACTGGCAGATGAGGACCATCCCTGCACGATGGAGGTATTTTATGTGACTTGTTGCTGCCAAACTTGAGGTGAAAATGTTGTTGAAAGCTAGTTGTGTTCGAGCCGTTCAGATACCTGTGGGTAACCTGAAGGACTATTCCAGGAAACGTGTAAGAAGGAGGCAGGAATGCCAACTGCACGACAGGCAGTCAGAAGGACTTTGGCTTTTGACCTTGCTATGCTTTTGAGAAAGCTATTTCCTTACCTCAGTGTGCTATTTAACTGAGTGCTGGTACTTCAAGTCTCTTTTTTTCTTCAGAAATAAACACTAAGGGAGAAGGTTTGTGTGCCTTATAATCTTGCCACTTTGCTAGTGAACCTTTTAAATTCGTTGATCTCTAAATGTAACAATTCTAACACATTTCAGTTCATTTGAAGAAGAATAAAAGAAGTATATAAAAGAAAATAAAATTGTTGTTACCCTACTAGTTTGTGTTATCAGCTGTGTGGTAAATCAGCGTAAGAATGTGATCTTTAAACTACCAAATCCAAGAAATAATATAAAATCTTAAATAGTTTTGTTCTTTATAGTAAACTGTTCAATTTGCAGAAGCTCAGAGCCCTGAAAGCCTTGTGGGTTTGGGCATGCTCTTTGAGCATAGCTGTGGTCTGCTGGAATTCAGGTGCTCCAGACCAGGTGGATCTCTGATTGAATCAGTGGGTGAAGGATCCAAAAACAAGTAGTAGACCCTTCCTAGTGGAAGTCTCTGGCCACCACACTGATGAAGGTTGCTGGCATTCTTGACTTTTCCATTAAAAATTATTTTTAAAAAATTATTATGAAGTTGGGGTACTTTACAGCTCAAAGCTATGGTTGACATTTCTGCCATGAAATAAGTTGGAATTATTACAATATAAAATTTCTGATCAGAGCAAATGGAGATTTTTCCATGCTGGCAAGTCTAAGATATGTCAAAAAAGGCAAGACCAAAGAAAAATTAAAAAAAAGGAAAACTGACTGGAAGTTGTAGTTTGGTCAGCTAGACTAGGGCTGCTATTTTTAATAGCTGCTACAATGTACTCTGGGTTCTAGTGGGTACTAGGTGCACTGTGTATCAAGTGTGGTAATTTTAAACTGTATATTGATGAATCCTATGCAGCATATGTCAATGATTCTAAGATGTTTCAAGAGAAAAGATGCATTAAAGAAAAAAAGGGATTGTATTTGCAAGGTACCATATATTTTTGCAATTAGCTTGGATCTGACATCAACAGAAAGGAATGTCTGGTTCTTTGGTGTGCTTCACTTCTTCCTTTCCATGTTTTTCCTTCTAGTTCCTTTTCATTTTATTCCCTGTCATCTTCCTTATTCCCGTCTTCTTTTCCTCTTCTTTTTTGTTTAAATTAATTCCATATTCATTTCTTGTTACTCTTCACCAGAAGTTTCTCTTTTCAGACTAAGGTGTCTCTATGTACATCATCTTTACACCTCTCATTATGGAGTCTGTTTAACTGAGCAGGTGTATTTTGCAATTCTAACACCCCTTGTGGTGTTTTTTCTTAACTGTAGATGCTTCGGGAGCACAAGTCGATTATTATTCAGAGACATATAAGAGGCTGGCTGGCTCGAGTGCACTACCGTAGGACCTTGAAGGCAATTGTTTACTTGCAATGCTGTTACCGGCGCATGATGGCCAAGAGAGAGCTAAAGAAACTGAAGATAGAGGCCCGGTCTGTAGAACGCTACAAGAAACTTCACATTGGCTTGGAGAACAAGATCATGCAGCTGCAGCGAAAAATTGATGAGCAGGTAAAAGCTCCCTGGCCTCAGGGAAAATCTTTAGAAATCTTGTATTTCCTTTCTCAGTAGCACTGTGGGCATTCAGAGAAGAATGCGCTGAATTTTTATTGTAAGGTATCAGTTCTCTTTTCTGCTGAAGAACATTGATAGAAGAGAAAGGGAGGCCAGGAGGCCACAGGGGGACTGGGACAATAAAGCATCTGTTTGTGTCTCTCAGCAGCACTGAGAGAAAACATCTGCTCCCTTAATGTCAGTATTTCATTTGAAGGAAGTCAGTTGCTCTTTTTAAAGGGAAGGTGAGGTGATCAGGTCTGAGGTATGTGGGCTCCCTCTCTGATTTTAGTTTGGGATGTTAATGTGCAGGCTTAGAGACTGGACTGTTCTGTCACCTCGTTAAGCAATTCTGCAAAAAGAGACTGAAACTTTTTGGAAATGAGCAAGCTGTTCTGTTGCTCCCATGTCTGGGTATATTCTATAGGGAACTAGAAGGCTCCCTTAAACCAGAACTTCCCCAACACTGCTATGTCTGTGTTGTGTTTTGCAAAGAACAAAGAGTACAAATCTCTGCTGGAGAAGATGAGCAACCTGGAGATCACGTACAGTACGGAGACAGAGAAGCTGCGGAGTGATGTGGAAAGGCTTCGGATGAGTGAGGAGGAGGCTAAGAACGCAACCAACCGTGTCCTCAGCCTTCAGGAGGAGATTGCCAAGCTCCGGAAGGAGCTGCACCAAACTCAGTCTGAGAAGAAGACCATTGAGGAATGGGCAGACAAATACAAACATGAAACTGAGCAGGCGAGTATGCAGTCTCAGATGTATGAGAAGATCCCCAAGGGCCTGGTGTCCACTCCGGTTTTGCCCAGGCTTAATTGTTTCAGTTGTGTGGCTGATATTTTTACAGTATTTTTAAGCAGTGTTATACCTGTACAATCCTAAATAGGCTTGATACCTAAATAACTACACCTATGGTAGAAGAATGTACTAAATCTATATATTGTATGTAAATATATGTATTCAATCTATTCAGATTTTGATATTGAAAGTATTTGCAAATCCAAATTCTTAAGATTCCTCAATTAGTCAGAGGTAGCGCATTCATTAAAAGAAATCATTTTACCTACCTAGAGTGTAATCACATAATATCAGAAATCTGTCCCATACACAGTATTCAAAGGTACCTGTTTATATCCTACCTAATTTAAACAATTAGCCTACTAAACACATGTATGTGTGCACAGTCTAGTTCAACAGGTTTTGACTAACCCCTTATCTTTGCTTTAACCACAAACATATCAAACAGGTTGTTTCCCATCAAGATTACTTGCTGATAACGGTGCAAGTTTCAAATATTGGAAGAGCTATTCCATCATTATGTGATGCTGCAGTGATACATTTCAGGATCAGATAAACAAAAGGAAAAATACTAATTGATTAAGCAAAATGAATGCATAGTAACCGTAATCAGAGACAAATAAGTAACTGGCAAACTTGGGCACAGTTAAAGTGGCACAATTTTTGGGCAGAGGCAAGATGTTAGATTATGGTGTTACCCAATGCAATGGAATATAAAACAGAACAACCAATTTTGTTCCTATTTTAGGAATATTTCTATTTTAAGGAATAAATTGCATCTTTAGGACTTTACTGAAAGATATTATGGCACAGTGGAGTGGTTCAAGGCAGTTTTGGCATCTGATCAGAAATGGAGTGCAGAACATACAGGGGAATCTGCAGTGGGACTTATTTAAGAAATGTAACTTGGGAAATGAAGATGTCATAATTTAGTTCACTGATTTCATTCTCTGAAGAAAAGTTTAAGTATTTGAACTCTCACAACAAAGATGTCGTTGCTCTTAGAGCTACTGATAAAAGATGAACTGCATTCTGAGTCAAATATTCTTTTATTTCTATAGCTGGTATCAGAGCTGAAAGAGCAGAACACATTACTGAAAACGGAAAAGGAGGAGCTGAACCGCCGCATCCATGACCAGGCGAGGGAAATAACAGGTTGGCTCTGTTCTCTTCACTCAGGTTTTCTACTTCATGTTACCTTGTAAAGCAACACTCTACTGCATAGATTGGGCTAATTTGCCTTAGATTGCATTCCTTTTTAGCTTAATGGCTTCATTTCTTAAAACAAGGAACTCATGTGCATCAGAATTATTTACTATTTGAGTTTCCACGAAGTCCTAAGCGTTTGGGGTCTTTTTGGTGAGGGTGACTGTTACAAAGCGTTTTACTTTTTAAAAGAAGGCTCTGATATTTAATACAATTAATCTATTGCAGCTCTTCTGGCTGCTGTGACTAGGTAGACAGCAGCCAGAAGAGCGTAACTCTAGATGTGAAGGCTGTGATGGAGGCAGCTGTGATGAGGAGGGTCAGTGTGCATGAGGCATAAAGCATCTCACATTTTGCTTTTTACATAATGCAGCACTGGGCTAGTGCCCCTTCTTCCTCCCTCCTGGAATTACTAATGCAAGGTATTAGCAGAATAACTAACTTAACTTGAATGAACCCTTCTGTGATTACCACAATAATGCTTTGGTCCTTCATATATTTGGCTTAATATTTGCCTACAGAAGCACAAATACCACACACCAGCTGCACACAGCAGACTGTTTCACCATCTGTGTTCCTGGTACAGACACATGCCTGTACCTCCAGGATGGATGCACTGCATGGTAGGTGGAAGTGGGGTTTTCACTTTGGATTCCTGTTCTCCATGGCAGAGACGATGGAAAAGAAGCTCGTGGAGGAAACAAAACAGCTAGAGCTAGATCTGAATGATGAACGGTTACGATACCAGAACCTGCTGAATGAGTTCAGCCGTTTAGAGGAGCGGTATGATGATCTCAAGGATGAAATGAACTTAATGGTGGTAAGTGTCAAAACATCTGAGAAATCAAAAGCTGTTCACAAATGTGTTTAGGCAGAATCTAGTAGTGTACGTTAGTAACTGCTTCTGCTGTCAGCTGTGTGGTGGTGAATTGTACATGAAAAGAGAATTTTTCCTTTTAAATATGGTTGATTAGATTAGCTCAGCCCAAACAAATACATTTAAAATTTGTGGTTGATTTTTAAAAAAAATTTTATTTTTATTTTCACATTTGTGAAGAAGGCTAAATTTCTGCTGTGACTTTAGTGGTCTTGCACATGCTGTCCGCCCTTATTTTGCCCTGAAGTTATTCACGTGTGCTAGGGTTGTTTCTGCCACATTCATCTAGTGTTAAATTTAAAGTAGTTCTGGGAATATTTTATGTGGCAGGAAGAAAAAAATATTCCTCAGTACAATGTCTGGAAAGTTAGAGAATTGCTGCCTGTGCTTCCTGTAAACCAAGCCTTTCTTTCCCACAAAATGCTGCGTTGTTGCTTGATTCTGCTTTCTGCAGCAATACTTGATGGTGTAGGATATGACCTGCTCCATAGATTTGATTGTGAACTACATCTCATAGGCTTTAGGTGGCATGAGAGACCAGAATCAAAAATCTTTTCTTATAAATTTTGATAGCTGTGAAATAACACCAAATATTCCAAGCTAAATTATAGGTTGTGAAAAGACAGTTACAGGGAAAACCATATAGTGGTACTGACTTGTTTCATTTGCACTTCAGAACATCCCCAAGCCTGGACACAAAAGAACGGATTCAACTCACAGTAGTAATGAATCTGAATATACTTTTAGCTCTGAGATCACAGAAGCAGAAGACTTACCAGTGAGGATGGAGGTAATGTTAAACCCCTCCCCCCCCAACTTTTCACTGATCAATGGTTGAACTCATTCCTATCTCTTTTTTTTTTGTATGTGCTTGTGAACACCATATGCTTATATGGAGATATCTAACAGTTTAATCCAACTTTTTCCATTTCCTTTGTGGAAACAGCTCATTCTCTAGTTAGTTGTGGTCCTATGTAAAAAGAATTTATGAAAATATGCTTTGAATTCTTTGGTATTACAGTAAACATAGACTAGATACTTGGCCATCCCGTTGATTTGCATCTGTAAAACATTTGCTTGCCAGTGTTTGTAAGCACAATCACTTTTTCAGCACAAAGTGGGAATTCAGAAAACCAGTGAGGCTTCCTGAGAAGTCTGTGTACTGTATATTCAAGGATTAAAAGTAGCAAGGTGGCTAGACACATTCTTAGTAGCTACATGGAGTGAGTCCCCTGTTAGGGGTGAGAACCTCATGTTGATTTATTTTTCCTCTATTTCATAGAGACGAAAAAACTCCGAGAACATGCTATCCCTTTGCATATGCAGTGATACGAATCCCAGGATATTTAAAAATTTTCAGAAAGATGACTCTCTTGATTCAGCTAATGAATAATAATCATGAATAATTTGTGGTGCAACTCTGAGCCATTCTTAGTATTTTCAAAGTTAACTCCCCCTTTTGGCCCTTCCCAAAGAAGTGGGACTGCTAACACAGCAGAGAGCCATCAGGTTGGTGGTCTGACTGTGCTTGGCAGTTTGCAGATGCTAAGTTTTTTCTGTGCATTCTAGAGACCTTCTTAACTGTAAGCCATCGCACAGCTCACTCCATTTGCCCTCTGTCTAGGTTAGTTACCTCCACAGCTGCTTTTTACAGGCTGTCATTACTGTTCTTGAAAGCCTCTGCAGAAAACTGTTTTCTACTATGGATGCAAATACCCTGACACATTGATGCTGACACATATTCTGTGTGGACTCTTTCATAATTTGCCTTCCCACTTATATTTTTCACCTTGCATAATTGTTTCAGAAAGATGCTCCTACCTTCATGGATAATCAGGAAAAGGACAGTGCAACTACATGTGATTGGATTTCCCATGACCCCCATGTCATCTTTTCCTTTGGCTAATATACTTACTGAATTGCTGTTCTAGAGCCAGTTTTGGTTTTTAGAATATAAGTGAAAAAAATTAACTCACACAAGAGTGTGAATATATGTAGCACCGAGAAGATAAAATCTGTATTTGTTTAACCCCTTAAGATTTCAAACTCCAGTTTGACTCCAGACTAACTATAGATTAATGATACAAAACCACATTAAAAAATAGGGTCCATCTCAATGCGAACCAGTAAAGCCAGAAAAACTCAAAAGTCTGTTTTCTTTTTCCTGAGCTGTTGGTGTGGTTTATGACTCTTCCCCTCAACAGTGAAAGGAGATGAAGTGGAAACGGCTGTGCTTGCTTGTCTGCTACAGTCATTAATATTAATTTTCTAGTTGCTTTTCTAGGCTTCAAAATTTTATGGTGCACTTCATAGTAAATGCTTTGATCTTCTTGCTACATAAAGTACAAAATGGCTGATGGACAATTTCTGATGAACCTTCATATTACAAATGCTGGTTCTTGCCCCAAAAATAGTGAACAAGCTAGTGGATTAGGCTCAGAACAGGCTCTATAATTAGCATAATAAAAGGAAAAAGGCATGACATATATCTTCTGGTACCTATTTTTTATGTCTCATCCCACTAAACCTATAAATCTACAATCAGCAGAGAGATTTCTCTGTAGCTGAAGAATTTACTGTAGAAATAATTTTTAAAAAAAAAAAGCCTCTATTTATAGTTGTTTCCAGGTGAGTCTAATCACAGACTTTTTTTTTCTCCTTTCCCCCTCCAAACAAGTAAGAATAAAAGGTATGCTTAGTTATAGACCTCCTGTCTGCTAGGTAGTGTCTTAGTGCTTTCTTTTGCTAGGCTTTAGGCTTAGATATGTTTTATACTAGTAGATCCTTTTTTAAAATAGCATGTGACAGCTGATAAAATATTCTAGATGTCAGTAGTCAACTCTCAGAATCAAGTAACATTTCTGTGTTCCTCTCTTTCCCCAGTCTGTTTCCCATCTTTACTCACCGTAGCGCTTCCTTGTGTTGTGGAAGGGGAAAACTTCTTGACTTCCTTCTGTTCTTTCTAAAGCAGGAACCAAGTGAGAAGAAGGCACCATTGGATATGTCTCTGTTCCTCAAGCTGCAGAAACGGGTTACAGAGCTGGAGCAAGAAAAGCAATCCCTGCAGGATGAGCTGGACAGAAAGGAAGAACAGGCTCTCCGTGCTAAAGCTAAGGTGGACTCTTTCTAGCTGATCAAATGCTGACGCCAGAGTATCCCTTCTTGTGAAACAGTAGCTGTGTGAATGCTGACTGGCTTTTAGTAAATCCTTACCTTCCTCTAGGAGTTCCTTTATTTAACAACAAGTTTTATGCCTGGTGCTTGGTACTAGGGACTGGTTATTTAGTTTTCCAAGGTCCTTGAGATCCTCTGATGGAAGTTAACAGGAACAAAAAGTGGTTGGGACTTTGCATGAAGAAAAAAAAAGGCTGTTTTTGTTAAGGAATAGCAATATAGAAATCTACTTATATGAAGGGGAGAATGAGTAATTGTTCATTTTATTTGCAGTTCTCCTCTGATTTGGTCTCTGTAAGGACTTAAAAAGTATGAAACTAGTTTTGGCAATTGTTTCTTATTACTCTTCCACCAGTGAATTTCTTGAGCATACTGGGATTCATCCTGCTCTGTTTTGTTACCAGTGATTTGTTCACTGATAATGCCACCAGTTGTGTGATTTGTACGTGATTTTATTTATATTAACCTATTATGTGTCATAAACTCATAAGTGAATGAAGGGAGACAATGCCAGTATTCAAACTAAAGCACTCAGCAGTACCAGAATGAGTGTTTTCCAGTTTTATAGAAAAACAGTTTCAGCTCCCTTTCCTTTTTCTGCCTCAACTAAATTAAAGAATAGGAAGGGTTGGATTTTTATCTTTCACACTTGTCTGTATTCTTTCATAGGAGGAGGAAAGGCCTCCAATAAGAGGTGCAGAGTTGGAGTATGAGTCGCTCAAGGTAATTCTAAAAACGAGCTTTCTGTTATTTTCTAGTGAGAATATTGCCACCCATTGTATGTGCTGGCATAGAAAATTACATCAGGCCTCCTGTTTCAGAGTGTTAGCTAGAGAAACTAGAACAAAAATTCCCCAGCAATCATTTTATTGTAGGATTGCCCGTTTTGAGGTGTAGAATGTGTGGCTGGGGCTGCAGAACAAAAAGATCCCCTAAACAGGGGGAGTTCTCTGTTGAAACACTTAGTACGGTGAAAATACAGTGATAAATGTAGTCCTCTTTTCCAAACACATTATTTATATTAATGCATACCTTAGACCACTAAAACTAAAAATGTTTTATAATATCACTGAGTGATGCAGAATCTTCTTAGCCTGCTGACCACTATTTGTTGTGAACTTTTATTTTTTTTGTTAAGGGGAGAATAAGAGGAAAAAAAGATTGGTACTTTTTTTCCCATGAAATCCGTGTGATTCATATACATGTATTCTGATTTTGCGCTTCAGACGAAACGTTAGCCCTGTCAGTGAAATCCGCCCAGACACTATTCACCGTAGTCAAGAGGCCAGGGATACGGGAGAGATTGATTGATTTGTTGCAGTTACTCATGGTTCTTACCATTTCTATCCATAGTTTTGTACCTGTGGTTTTTAGGCACATTGGAATGCTGCTGGGTGACAGCATTGTCCCTATTTCTTGCAGCGTCAAGAACTTGAATCTGAGAATAAAAAACTGAAGAATGAGTTGAATGAGCTGCAGAAGGCCCTCACAGAAACGCGATCTCCAGAGGTAACTGCTCCTGGTGCCCCTGCATATCGAGTCCTCCTGGATCAGCTGACTTCAGTGAGTGAAGAGCTGGAAGTACGCAAGGAAGAAGTCCTCATCCTGAGGTCTCAGCTTGTTAGCCAGAAGGAGGCTATTCAGCCCAAGGTAAATAATAGTCAGCAGATGCACTGTCTAGTAAAGTTACATTGCATCACTGATGTGCTTTATTTAGTTTAACAGTGTGCTTGAAAAGGCAGATAAAAATGGTCTAGGTTTGAAAGCCTTTCTAAGTAATCCATTGATCCATTATTAGTGCACAAATACCAGCAGTCCAAATTGGGAGATTCTAGTAATAAACCAATTTCGGGTTTGTCTGCCAGCATGCATGTAAAGATACTGTACACCAGGCTGGCAGATACCAGGGGTCTGGCCAGGATCTCCCCAGACTCCTTTAACAATGCAGAAATAATTCTCATTTGGATTACTGTCATTTCTCTAGTGAGTATGTAGTTTGACTGGAAAATTTACAGTAGGTCTCAGGAATTCTTTTTAATTAATAGTTCAGTAGGAGGTACAAGGAACAATTTCTTCTAAATCTGTGTGGGGTAATAGATGATTGCAAATCAATAACATTTCATAAAGATGACCTATGAGGATATATAAATTCCATATTATTGCTTGATAGGTGCTATGTGGTTGTGTTGAGAAAAGTAGATTACAACCACTGAAATACATATCTTCTAAAAAGCTCTAATACTTAGGGAAGTAATAGCTTTGAAAATAAGAGTCATTCAACCTGAAAAGGTATCACGTGAAACCAGGAACTGGTCATTTCCACTGAACTGAGCTATCTAGTGTTTCATAACCGCAGCAAGGAATGTCTTCTTTCTTTGCTACTGCAAAGTTATATTTACATTTGTCCTAAACAAATTGAAAGTCTGTGATGCATGAAGGTGTACAATAGCTTGTTTTAAATGATTAATTATAAAGAAAACAAGACTCATTTTTCTGTAATATTTAGAACATTGTAGAGAAATACTTGAATAGTAAATCCTTGAATAACTTATTCTCAGCAATGGTGAGATACAAGTGTTGTTTTTACAGCGGTTATGAGTATGAGGGAAATATGAAAGTGACCTGTGGGATGGCTAACGGCCAGTTTGCAGATAGCTTCTGCTTATTAGGTTGGACAGGTACAGCACAGACAGATTTTTATTTTTATTTTAATTATTTGTTTTTCTTCTTTCTTGCCTACCAACTTGATTGCCAGGAGGATAAGGTACACATTTTCTTCTACAGTTATAAACCAGAATTCTTAAATGCTAAAAAACCCCTCAACAATACTTGAGCTGTCATTTCCCTGCCTCTCATTAAGTAACCTACATGTATTTGAAGTTGTTCTTGCACTTTACTTCGCTGTTATAGAAAAACCTTTCTCATTATCCTATGTGCCCCGCATCCCCATCTTCCTGCTCCGTGCAAGGGAACAAGTTACTTCAAAACAAGCAGATTTAGCAATTTTGAACTGTTGGTTTATGGTAACCTGAACATGAAAGGAAAGATTCAGGAATTGGTCTGGTCGGCTCAACCAATGTATCTTGCTGAGTGTGTTTGGAGAGTAAGAGCAGCACTGTGATTCAGGAATCAGATCTCTGTTAACTTGCAAAATCCATAAATTTCACCAAAAAAAGTCTGTGGTATGAAGAGCTACCTTACTTTATAGTGTTCGTTATCCTCAGCATGCAACAAACATTGAGGACTCACATTGTGATCTGTAGATATTTGGTAGGCGTTGAATGTTTGATTAGAAAATGTAGTTGAACACATAGTATTTAGGAGTATGAGAAACTGAACTGACTCTAAATGAAGGCTGTTAATTCAAATATTGCAACTACAGCAGGAAGGGTATTCTTGAAGGTAGAAGAGTAAGTAGCATTTCTTTCCATCAGCACAAAAATAATAAATATGTTCAGACTGCTAAAACTTGATAGATTGGCAGGTGAGATACAGCAGTTTTACTGTGTAATAAAATAACAGCAAAAAAAATAACAATTGTTTCATAAGGATGTTGGGAATAATTCCTTGAGGAGCTTATATATTTTATTGGTTTTCATATTAGATAACACAAATCATACTAGGCATAGAGACCGAGGCTCCAAAATTTATGTCCACAAAGTTGGTATTGTAAATACTTTGCAAAATTTTACTTGGGAAAATAGCATTTGATTGTTTTGAAAGTCAAAAAGAAAAGTCAGAATTCCAACTCTTATGTTTATTGGAGTCCTGTGGTTCCGCTGTAATTATTCCACAGCAATGACTCAGATCAGACTAACTGAGGTGACTGTAAACATCTGTTAAGTATTTCAAGTTTTACTGAAGAAAAAGCAAAAATGCCATAGTAAACATTCAAAACGGAAACAAAATGGTATTAGGACGATATCGAACTTAAAAAATCTCAAGCACTTGTAAATTATTTCCTGCTTCGCCAGAGTACTTAAAATATAGGAAGTGAGGAATAGACCTTATTTATGAGATTTTTTGAAAGACTACATGTAATGCTGTGTTTAAGAAATATTAATAGAATTGAGCCTGCAAAATTATGCTTCTTCAGTTTTAGTATTAGCAGCTGTTCCTGGTAATTTGAAATAAAACGCAAATTTGTCATTTCATGAAATTTATTTGGTTCCTTTTACGTGATGAACAAATAAAAGGAGGTTAACACATGAACCCACTTATTAGACTGATATTTGACCATGTTGCATGCATTCATTTTAAAAGATACACCAAATGGACATAGAAATTATGGATCAACCTCCTGCTTACATATCCATGCTAATTTTAATGTGGCTACTCAAGGATTAGTGTTCCATGTGGGTAAAGTGACAAAAACATGGATTCAAAGAACAATTACATTGTTAAATTTACCCTGGAAATCGTCATTCTTTTACCAGAATACCATGACAGATTCTACAATCCTCTTGGAGGATGTACAAAAGATGAAAGACAAAGGAGAAATAGCACAGGCGTATATTGGACTGAAGGAAACAAACAGGTACAAGTTCTCTTTCTTTAATCTATGATCAGTTGGGGTCACTTGGGGTCTGCTGTGACACACTGCGTGTATCACATTCAGTAAGTTCCATCCACCTAAGTCTAGCTACTTAGAGAACACTTACAGCTGGGGTTATAATTTGATTTGATTAGTATAATTGCTGTATGCAGTATGTGAAAGGATTAAGAAACAATGGGGAAATGCAGAATCAAGCTTCCTGGATTTACATCTTCTTAGCCTTTAACTGCTACATTGCTCAAATTGGGTTCCCCATGCTGATTTGTTACCTTTTGTCCAGTAGTGGTCACAATAACCTGTTGTAATGCATTTATTGTAACAGCATGAAATGCTGTAACCAGTTGGGTTAACACCGAGAACTGAATTTCGTCATTAAGAAGAAATACGTATAAACAAGAGAAGTAATTTGCTAAGTTGTTTTAGGGCATTTTTTGTTTCTTTTTTATAGTAACTGTATTTTAGTGTGTAATGTCCTTAACATGTCATCTCATCACCATCATGTATCTCTCTTGTATTTTTTTAAATACTTTTCTTGAAAGGCAATCTCCCCAGGACTATCATATGCTGAATGAGGATGGAGAACTTTGGCTGGTTTATGAAGGGTTAAAACAAGCCAACAGGTTACCAGACTTCTCAGAATGGTTTTTTTCTTCATTTGCGTCTTCTTTTCTAGCTAACTGTGCCCCTTGCTATGGGTTTGCTTTAGCTACAGTATCTCTATTGCTTTAACAGTTAGGAAAAAATTCATCACAAATTACGCAAGTTAAAGAGTTTCCTCAAACTTTGTCCCCAAACCTTTCTCCTTGTCAAGTTTTATCATTTAAAATGTTAAGATGGTGTAACAACTAATACATAATTCATAAGAATACTTGTGCAAAAATGGACTGTAAAATACCAGAAGCTCCTCAACAGGAAAAAATTTGTAGCCGTGTATTATTTGTCTGCCTTTACGTTGGGTATCAAAATTAATGTCCCTTACAGATTTTCAGCCTAAAGAAGTACAATCATTTTAGTAATTATAAAACTATTGTTTGAGTAGCTTCAGCGTACTCTTAACTTTCAAATAGCTACGGGTCTTACTCTCCTTGTTGTGACTCAAGTTCAGTAAATTGAACATTCTTCTCCCACGTCTCTCCGTGCCAGATTCAAAATGTAAGACACAAAATAACCAACAAACAGAAGTCATCTTTAGTTCATCATGGTGCTCTTCAAGCCTCAGTGCAATCACTGCACTCTCTGCAAAGACTGCATGCTGGTCATGTAATGGGTGAGGTTCACCTTGTTAGGAAATGGAGTTCTGGCTCTGTGTGCACCTCTGGGCCCCGTATCCATACATGTGTCCCAGACTTCCAAAATGGTTCCTAGAACTGCACTGGCAACTAATTCAATAGATAGGCAGTGCTGATCTTCTTCAATATACACAGTTGGTAGCAGTAACTACAGAAGGAAGTATTTTGCAATGAATGCTACTAACTAAAGTCTTTCCTTTTCTGGTGCTAACAAACTCTACAGCTAACATTGCTCTGTAAGCCTGTGAAGATCTAACTTAGAGCAAGTGTTCTGCAGAGCAGGATGTGAGACTGTTTGCTCTGCACCTCTTCGTTTCTTGTCCTAGCACTGTAGAGACAAGAAGCTTTATGTTAAATGGCAGAGCAATGCAGGTAAATTACTATTTGCCCTTGCGTGCTTGATCAGTCTAGTTACTAATAAATGTGCCTGCCTTATGCATATTTAAACCCTGAAAGATTGTCTAATTGAACACTAGTAGTCACTAGTAATGTCATTTCCTCCATGTGCGTATGTATGAAATGATGAGTCAGAGCACTTGGACAGTGCCTTGCAAGCAGGAGTAGATCCCCACAGCACTGCTTGGAAGGAGGCTGGTACGTGTTATCCCCATTTCACATGAGAAGAATTTGAGACGTGATGTGCCCAAGGGGAAAGAGTGAGTCAGTGGTGAAGATAAAATAGAGCTCCCGGATCCCAGTCCTGAGTTTGATTCTGTTGTTAACCTTTCGTGCACTAATGACAGCCCTCTGCAAAACGTTGGTTTTAATGTAAATATAAAGATTATTTATGTGCATTTGCAATTAAATGGTTTCTGACTGAACAGAGTTAACTCTAGAAAGATTTTCCTTTGTTAATATTGCAGGGTCCTAGCTTAAGCAAACACAGTGTCTTCTTCATCTTACACAGTTTGTTTGATTTGATTAGAGGTAAAACCTCTTTAAAAACCCTTTAAAAGCAGTGACAATCTGTGAAGACTTAGCATTACATTTATTGCCACATGTTCTTCAGTGGCACCATACACAGTATGTGTTCAATCACAAAGGAAATGCAAAGCAGTGTCACAACTAGTTTCTCTCCACTTTTTGATCATGCAAGCTTAATTTAATTAGAAGGCATACTGAAGGGTTTAAAGAGTACTCTGCCTTTTTCATTTTCTTTTGCAAGCCATGGCTAATTGTTCCTGAGCAGCAGCTAAAGCTTTCCACTCCCTCTGAGAATTGGGGATGTAACTTTCTAAGTGCGTTCACACAACTGTTGCTCAACTTCTTCAGGCTGCTGGAGTCTCAGCTTCAGTCACAGAAGAAGAGCCACGAGAACGAACTGGAATCGCTGCGAGGTGAGATCCAAAGTCTGAAGGAAGAAAACAATCGCCAGCAGCAGCTCCTAGCACAGAATCTGCAGCTGCCTCCAGAGGCCCGCATTGAAGCCAGTCTACAGCATGAGATCACCCGGCTGACTAATGAGAACTTGGTAAGGGAAATGGTGCTGCAGGAGCAGGCTAGGGGACTTACAGTCCTGCTGCGCCTCTAAGTTCCTATCATCTTTCAGAAGGCAGCCTCCTGTAAAAAATTGCGTGAGTGCAGTGGGGTTTTTAGTAGGCGAGCTGATGGGAGAGAGAGACTTACGATTGCTGATGAAGTAATAGTTTCAGGGAATTCGTTCAAAGTTTGTGGCATGGAGAAAACTCCTGAGTCCCAGCTTTCAACTGATCAGTTTAATCATCGCTAAATGGAATGCTTATATCCAGGGAACTCATAAAAAATATTGGTGCCAAGTAGTGGTGTTTCTTCATATTAGTTTGTTTATTTTGTTGAAAAACTCTCATGTAGTTCTTCAATTATTTAATGCCACTTTTCTTCCCATTTCCCCCCTCCCTGCCTGAAGCTACACAGATAATCCACTGTGTTATGAGCTCCAACTATTCAGTATGTCTTGAAGAAAGAAATAGTTCCAGAAAAAGAAACTTGGTTAGAAGTCAGTTAGCTAATAATTGGTATTCCTTGTTTACTGCACAACATTTTTGTATGAAGGAAGGGTAGGGTGAAGCTCCTTACCTCCGCAAAGGAGTATGTTCATCATGTGCAGGCTAGTTCATTCCCGGGGAAATTTTCCAGAGAGGCCCATGTTGGAATGTCATTGGCTTATCACTGTTTATTGGTAAAGGGAACTGTGCTACTTCAGGAAGAAAAAGCCTAGCTCTGAGTGTCATTGCTTCCTCTAAACAAGCCAAGGTGTAGTCTTTCCTGCTTATGTATGTTACAGAAGTTACCATTGTCGGGCTCTTGTCTTAGTACCAAAGGTTTTGAGGAAAGCATCAGATAATTCCGCTAATAGATGTTGGAAAACTGATCGAAAGTATATTGTAAGTTTGCCTCAGCAGCAGCTGTCTCCCACGGGCAAAGGTAAATGGCGAATGTTTCCGTCTCTCACAGCTCCCTCCTGCTGCTTAGTCATATGTTACGATTTTTAGCCTTTTTTTTTTCCCCCAGAGACCTACTCATCACATTCTGTGTTCCCAAGACAACACAGTCATGTAATTACATCCCAGAGGAGTTCTCTTTATTTTCAAATACAGTGAATGTAATTTTACTTGTTAAATATAGACTCATTCCTTGCTGTTTCACTTCTGATGTTTGAGATTGCAAGTCTACTCCAAGTCTTGTATATGCTTCTTTTCCACTCCTAGCCCTAGAGTGGAAATAATTTACAGGCTTTCCAGATGTGACATTAGAATTGCAGTATTCACAGCAACCCCATCTTGATTAGCATAAGAAAATCTCCTGTCCAGGTTCTCACAAAGGTTATAGTCCAGGCTTTCACAGTATTAGTACTGCCCATTTTTAAAAGATATGACTGTTCTGCGACTCATCTACATCAGCTTCTTTCTGGGAGAGGCTGGTGTGAGCACCACAATGAAGGACTAAACTACCTAAAAATTAGAGATTCTTGATCTTGTTTTAATCTGATTTAATTTATATAGTGCTTACTGAAGTATCAGTGTCTCAAAGGGAGGGGCAAAAACAATCCTGTACCTATTTTTACAGTTTTGTGAGGAGTTGTATGCAGATGATCCCAAGAAGTATCAATCGTACCGGATTTCACTTTACAAACGGATGATTGTATGTAGATCACGTGAATCCTGTTTCTCTGTTGTCTCGTTTGCTGTTTCTGGAGCACTAATTGAAAAGCAGGCTGCCTCCCTTTCTTCCTTTCAAAGGAAATCCCCTGCGGAGAGCTTCACAATGCCAATTACTTCCCTTACTGCTTTTTTTGTTAGTCTTAGTGTCCTCTGTGTAATCTGTGTCTCTTTTTGATGCACAGTTTTGTTACTAATACAAGTCTTGTGCTGTGAGCAAAGCAGTTTCTTTTTGAATACTACTTAATACTGCCCTGAAAAAGAGGTACGTGATGCAAAAGATGCTCCATTTTCAGAACCACTCTTTGCTTTAAAACTTTGATACATTTAAATTCAGTTCAGCAAAATAGAGGACTGATCATAAAGATACTTACCAACGTGAATAATGCCTGCAATCCAGTCATAGCCTGAATCGGTTCGTAGATCTCTTTACAGTGCCGACATCTGGAATGAATAAATCTATGAAAATGCATAACCTTTTAATATTTTTTAAAAATGCAAAATATAAGGGATAAAGTTGGAAATAATATTTCCATAATAATTAAAGATAGCACCATATGTAAGCTTGAAAGAATATAATTTATGAGATTCAGAATCTTAATGAGATGTGAAATCTGGTCAATTTGTTTAGAGGAACCATAGAAAGAACTTTATTCCTCCTTACGTATTTGTTGTTCAGAAATCACATCCCTTCCTTGATACATTTGAAACAGTCTGTTGGACTTACATATATTCTTTTATTAATTTCAGGAGAAATTGTTATATCTGACAGCAAGTATATTGTGTTACTAGCAGGATTTCTGTTGTAAAATTGAACACTGCTTTGAATATGAAGCATGGCCTTGATTCTGTTCTTTCAACAGGCCTAATATCTTACTGCTCGAATATATTGCGTTGTAAACTCTTTACTACATGATTAAGAACAATTTGTGCCTAATTCTAAGTTGTTGCCCATGCTGCACTAATATTTTTCAATACCTCATGAGAGGTGTGGTTTCCCAGGTGATGCTTTTGATACAAGGAGCTCATGGTCCCTTATGTTTTTACCAGTGCCATGAAGAATCACGCTTGAAAAAGAGCATTTTTCTTTTAAGCTGCTTTCAAACCCTTAACCTGGAATGGCCTTCAGGTTTTTTGAGCTTGAGGTTTTGCTTCCTTTAGAAAGACTTCCCCTTTATTAATTACATGATTTTTTTTTTAATGCACTACCATAGATCACAGAATTATTCAAAGATAGATTTCTGGGGAGTGCTTCTTTGAAAGAAGAATACAGGTTTATTTCAAGAGTAGGACTTTAGGTGCTAGATGTTGTTCAGCTACAGAATAAAAAGATGTAAGACACCAGTTTCAGTGTAAGGAAATGTGATGACACCAAGCAATAGGGAAGTGGCAGAGCGTCACAAAGAAGTGTTGTATGTTTGGATGTTTGATTTTGGTAAATTTGAGTGCAAGTTATGGTCTTTCTGCAGGTATCTCTCTTATTGTCTTATAAAATGGATAGGTCTGAATAATGAGTCAGTCCTGAAGGCATGAATAAATGATGTAGAAATACAGGGTAGCTGTTGAATAATAAAGAAAATTATTTCCGTGAGGCATTTGGAAGAGCAGGGAGGAAGCATTAGCGAGATGTGTTGGCAGCAAAATGTCTTCTGCTGTAAGAACTGACCTAGTTCCGAGTGTCTGCAGAATATACCTGCCTAAGAGCTTTGCCTTTGTCATGCTGCACATAACTTAATAATATTTGCGATATTTGGCTTGTTACAGGCAGCGTACCAGCTTGCAAACCTCAGCCAGAGGATGGCACCACTGTTCAGCTTTCCTCACTGCCTTGTAATTCTAACAGCACCGGTTTTGTCTCTGTCACACATTATGGGATTTTTCTCGTATCTTAATCGTTATCTCATTTTAATTTATAGGATTTAATGGAGCAGCTTGAAAAGCAAGACAAAACTGTTCGCAAGTTAAAGAAACAGTTGAAAGTATTTGCTAAGAAGATCGGCGAACTTGAAGGTACTTCCGTATTTTGAGAGAAAGATTTTGGTTTACTTTTTGTGATCCCTTTGTCATCATATCCATCTGTTTTAGCAGTCGGGAGGGCATGAGGTCTTCAGTAGTGTCAGTGTCTGTTAAATGATTCCAGAAACAGGATGTACGCTCAGCGCTCTGTGTGTTCCTTTATAAACCTTTAGAAGATTTGTCGTATTTTGAAGTAATGAGTAAAGAACATTGGTGTTTCTCTGAAGGCAGAAAACATTTGAACATAAAGGAATGTTACCTGGGCTGTTTGTGTACTCAAAGACAGTATCTGTTTTTCTCAAGACAAAAGCAATACTAAATATGAACCAGGCAGAAATAATAGACCCAGTTTTCCTTTGAACGTGAATTTCTGTATCACTGGAGCAAAGAATGCTGAGACTGTCTTTCTCCGCTTGAGGTTTCCTTTCAGAGATGCTGGCCAAACTTGAATATGAGAATGCTGAGATATGGACTAAGCTAATTTTATTTTTATGGGCATCAGTGTGATTTGCCTTAGGATCTTAGGACTGGTGAGACTGAGAGCTTATTATGTCTCTGTATAAGTAAAGTAATTTTAATTGCTAAAAGCAATTAATTATGTTATAAAGTTGAAGTATGAATTTGTTTTTAAATAATCCTGGTACTAACCTTTTAGAAGCTTTTTATGGTCATCTGCTTTTTCCAGGCTTACTGCCTAATGAGTTGTTTTATTGAGTACTAAGATTGAAATCAGTGACTGTGTAGTCTTCAGTGTTTCAGTGTTTGAAAAGAACAGGGATACCAAGTTAAACCTGGATTAACAGGAGTATATTATCCTTTAGTTAGTGGGAACTCTCCTTGAGCTCCATTTTGGATTTCTGCATTTTCTACCCCATTTGACAGGTGCATACATTTAGCACACTTACAGGAGGTGTAATAGTTTGTAATTGCATGCAGCAACCTAACCAGGTGGAGCGTAGGTGTTGAATGTGATACCGTGAGGCACTGTACACAACAAGGTGGATATTTCATACATCCCTTTGAAAGGTTACTCAAACTAAGTTTGTTTTTAAAAAGTCTTTAAAAGTCTGTCACGACCCAGACTGGATAGACCAGGGAGTCGTGTTTAATTCGAAATTCCCTCGGGCTAAATTAAGGTGAAACAACACCAAACGATCAGTTAAAGATTTTATTTATGACAGAAGCAAAGTGAACTGGGGAGGCGTGGTAGTAGGTGGCAGGGTTTCTCACAACGGGAATTGGCATAAGACTACTTCTGTAAACGGTGTAACCCAGGGTAACCATATACATCGATTCAGGGAATAAGGAGAGCCCTCCCGTCGAGTCCTGAGGTTCAGAGCAGACCCCCTTGCTTTCCAGACTCCTCCTCAGAGAAGGGTCTAGGGGAGGCTGGATCCACTCTTAGTCTCAGACTTGGTCAGCGATTTATATCTTGAAACGGAAGAGGTGTAGGGATTGTGGAAAAGGAAAAGGAAAGAGAGAAGAAGGAAGAGACAGAGATTTCACTGGTCCTGGGTCTAGTGTTGGTTCAGTCAGCCGAGGTGTCCAGTCAGCCGAGGGGTCCAGTCCCGGTGGGCTTGTGTCCCCAGGGCTTCAGTTTGTGTCCTTTTATCATCCTTGCCCCTCCTTCGGGTGGGCACCCGAACTCGTCAGGCTAATGAGCAGTTTGTGAGCCTTTGGGCTTGGGAGTCGTTTGGGGAGTAACTTCTCCTTGCCTGCAAACACTGCCATAGTTTGATCTTTGTATCAGAACAGGGAGCTGCGCACCCTCCAGCACGCCCTCCCCCTCCTGTTGCTGATGTCTGAGCTGATGGGCTTTTCACCTTGGCTCCTTGCTGTGCAGGGTTTGTCTTTAAGCAGAACTTGCCCCACCACAATGTTTGAGACATTAACTCTTTCAGTCTCTCACAGTAACACAGAGGCGTTTTGTCTATTGCTGAACAGAGCTTGCACAGTGTCAAGGTTTTCTCTTTTTTCCCACTCTGCCCTCTCAGTAAGCTGGGGGGTGGGAGGGCACATGGGCACGCAGCCGGGACAGCTGACCCAAACTGGCCAAAGGAATATTCCATATTCCATACTACCTAACCTCAGGAGCCAGAAGAGGGCGTTTTTTGCATACAAGGTAGTTGTTGTTTGGAGGCTGGCTGGTCATCGGCCCCCCTGTGGGGGGGTCGTGAATGATTGCCTTTGCTTTCCTTCCCCCCGCCTTTCCTTCACTTATTAAACCATCTTTACCTCGACCCGTGAGTTTTCTCTCAATAGTCTCTCCCCTGTCCTGCTGGAGCCAGTGTGGGTACTTGGCTGCTGGTAGAGGTAAATCTACCACAATAGGCATGAAGGTTGAAAAATACTGGCATTTTGCAGAACAATTAACAGTGACCTTTGCAGTATTAATCTGGGATTAAGTGATTAACAGCTATCACTTCGCCTTTGTGCTTTTATATGATAAAATCTGGGAAATCGTCAGTAAGGTTGTATTAATGGGTGCTATTCACACACTGCCACTCTTCAAAAGAAGAATGCCACCCTGAGATATATTTATCAACAATCTGTCTTTTTGTTTAATGGGAGTTTTGTTGGTAAGTGTTATACTGAACCAAAGAAAACATTTCTTACTTGTATATGCTGGAGTTCTTCCTTAGAAATGTCATAGTTTCCTCTGGTATGCATTGGTTTCACTGGAAAATATTATATAATTTCTTTCCATTTCCACTCTGAAGTGGGCCAGATGGAGAACATATCACCTGGACAAATCATTGACGAACCTATTCGTCCAGTTAACATTCCACGGAAAGAAAAGGACTTCCAAGGGATGTTAGAATATAAGAAGGAAGATGAACAAAAACTTGTCAAGAATCTTATTTTAGGTAAGCATCTTTCTCATTTGCAGCCTCTGCTCCCACACACTATGAACAATGAATGATAAGAACACAGAATTTGCATTATGAAATGAATAGCTTATTTTGGTTTTGACAGTGTTCAGTTTATCTAAAATTCCTAAGTGTCTATTGTATTCTAATCATCCTTCCTGATCAGTATAGTACATACTAATGTGTCTGCATATTTTTTTAGCAGGCAGTTATATTTTTTTATTCCATTCTGATATTTACGAAGAAAGGGGCTCTTCTTAGTTTTGTTCTTAGTTTTCACCAGCCATGTATAGATACGTATGCACTGTTAACTGGGGAGGTTGCGATTACCTCATATAACATCTTCCAATGACTTTACACTTAACAAAACAACGTGTGTTTGTTTTTCCCAAGAGCTGAAACCACGTGGGGTAGCTGTCAACCTGATTCCAGGACTACCAGCATATATTTTGTTCATGTGTGTACGCCATGCGGATTACCTTAATGATGACCAAAAAGTGCGGTCATTGTTGACTTCCACTATCAATGGCATCAAAAAAGTGTTGAAGGTTAGTTAGTCTGCTTGGTTTAGAAAAACGTTAATTTAAAATGTGGTTTTGATTTTATGTTAGAGGACTGAGGAAGTGGCTTTGAATGAATTGGCTCTGGATTTCTGATCAGTAAACTCCTCCCACTGATGTCACAAAAAAGTTGTCTTAAGAACCAACAAATTACATTGATAACATTTTATCCATATAATACCATAGATGCTTTGAATTAGTGGAAAAAGAACTACCTTCTTTTTATTTTGAATAGTCTTCCTCCTCTGAACCTACGCTTAGAAGGTTTTGGATGTAGTCAAAGTTTGCATAGTGAGTCTTTGTTAATTGTGCAAACCTCATGAAGTTCAACAAGGCCAAGTGCAAGGTCCTGCACGTAGGTCAGGGCAGTCCCAAGCACAAACACATGCTGGGCGATGAGTGGATTGAGAGCAGCCCTGAGGAGAAGGACTTGGGGGTGTTGGTTGACGAGAAGCTCAACATGACCTGGCAGTGTGCATTTGCAGCCCAGAAAGCCAACCGAATCCTGGGCCGCATCAAAAGAAGCGTGACCAGCAGGTCGAGGGAGGTGATTCACCCCCTCTACTCTGTTCTTGTGAGACCTCGCCAGCAGTATTGCATTCAGCTCTGGGGTCCCCAACATAAGAAGGGCATGGACCTGTTAGAGCGAGTCCAGAGGAGAGCCACGAAGATGATCAGAGGGCTGGAGCACCTCTGCTATGAAGACAGGCTGAGAGAGTTGGGGGTTATTCAGCCTGGAGAAGAGAAGGCTCTGGGGAGACCTTATAGCAGCCTTCCAATACCTAAAGGGGGGCTACAAGAAAGCCAGAGAGGGACTCTTTAACAGTGAGTGTAGTGATAGGATGAGGCATAACAGTTTTAAACTGTAAGAGGGTAGGTTTAGATTAGGTATTAGGAAAAAACTCTTCACTGTGAGGGTGGTGAGGCACTGGGACAGGTTGCCCAGAGAAGGTGTGGATGCCGCATCCCTGGAAGTGTTCAAGGCCAGGCTGGATGGGGCTTTGAGCAACCTGGTCTAGTGGAAGGTGTCCCTGCCCGTGGCAGGGGGGTTGGAACTAGATGATCTTTAAGGTCCCTTCCAACCCAAACCATTCTATGATTCTTCAGAACACTTAATTAAAATGTTTCATTTGCAGTTTTGGTTCACAGATTTCATCATTTGCTTCACCTAGAGATTACATTGATGATAATATGTTACTGCCTAAAGTATTTGCAATGAGTTGGCTAGGAGAGTTTAGGCCAGGGGTATCTTGAAGGCAGTATTAAGACATAAATATGCTTTATGCTTCATGGAGGTTTTTAGTATTTAAATAAGACAGATGTGCTCAAAAGCCAAACATTTCATCAAGCTGCAAGTTTTGAAAAAATGTTTAGTAAGCAATCCTGCAGGAGCTTAGATATTCATAGATATTTTTGGACATTTTTAAGTGAATGGAGTGCATGCTATAGAGCTCTAGAAATTTTAATTACTCAAAATATACTAGATCCTGTGTTCTTTGGTGAGGAGGGTTTGTTGTTTTGTCTTGTTTTGTTTTCTGTATCAGGCTGCCAAAATGGTTATGATGTAAGTGACATTCATGAAAACTGAATTGTTCTCTGCTCTTCCTCCTGGGTCTGCATCATTCCCATCCTCCCCATTGGGCTCTTCACAAGAGCCATTGGGCCACAGAATGGGTGTTTTGGGAATACAGTCATATTGCCCTGTGATTTCTGCACAGAGCAGTTAGGATGGGTCTGTAAAACACAGAAAGATCATATCTGTGGAGGAAATTCTATTCTGAAAGTTCTTGAAAAATACTACAGAAAACAGGGATGGTGTTTAATGGTATTTTGCCAAAACCCTTGCTTTTCTAATATGTTACTGAAATACACAAAAGTTTTGCAAAACATCAGAATCTAAGTAGCTATAAGAAAGTGGATTTCAAGTGTTTAATTGCTTAGCTAACATTTTATTAGTTTACTCCTCCTACCAGTCTTTGTTGAAATGTGTTTGGTTTTATTTTCAGAAAAGAGGTGATGACTTTGAAACAGTATCCTTCTGGCTATCTAACACCTGCCGATTTTTGCACTGTTTGAAGCAATATAGCGGAGAAGAGGTAAGCAGTGCTCCTACTCTGGTTTCTTTTGCTCTGCAATACTACTGAGAACACTGCTCTTAAACAAATTCCTGTAATATCTCAAAACTAGTCAAAGTCTCCTAAAAGGGCTATACTTTTTGGAATGATGGTGATGACATCAGTGGAAAGCAGGGGGAGGTAAGATTTGAACCAGCTTCCCTTATTGCAGGCTGGGGGCCCAGAGGCTAGATGACATTGTGCTCCCAAAAATGCTAACTCAGATTAAGTAGAAGAATCTGGCTGCTAGCATTATGTTGTTTAGTAATGGTTCACTGCACTACCTGTGAAGAAGGCCATGTTAGGTCTTTTAACCATAGTATGGCAGACCAGTTTACATTTGGAAGCTGTGGTATGCCTAATTCCTTTTTCAAACTTAACTGGGCTTTTGGCCATAAATGGCCAGGTGAGAACGCTCATGCTGGAGTAAGAGGGAAGGGTCTTACCTGCCAGAAAGTTGGCAGTTTGTTCCTGTGTCAGATACTTGAAGTTTCAAGTCAAGGAAGCAAATGTTGCACAAATCACAATTGAAAAGCAAATCCTACCATTAGCCTCAATCAGAAGAAGTTCCAAATTAAAGTTTTGAGGGTCTCTGACTATTATTTTGAAAGTATTATTTGTCAGTTGCATGAAAAAATACAAATACTGGGTTTGTGTAATATTATTGTGTTCCATTGAAGCATTCATTTCTGTTATAAGCATTCATTTCTGATATTTTATGAATTCAGGGGTTTATGAAGCATAATACACCTCGTCAAAATGAACACTGCCTCACGAATTTTGATTTAGCTGAATACAGACAAGTACTGAGTGATTTGGCTATTCAGATCTACCAACAACTTGTCCGAGTGTTGGAAAACATTCTGCAACCAATGATTGGTAAGGCAAAGTTGAATTCCTTAAACTTCACACCATAGTACCAAAAGGAAAATTGTGATGGTGGTAATATACTGTATCTTGTAGTTCTTCCTAACCAGTAGACTTTCATTAACAGTTCTTGTGGTATTCTGTTTATAGATGACAAGGACTATGCTGGACAGGTTGGATTAGAGGGAAAAAGTGAACTGTGGCTGCTTCTTCTGCCAGTAACAGAACAAATCGATATACCCTGTTCAAGCTTGTCATATATCATGCATTTACAGGAAGAAACTGTTAGGACAGTCTGATATTTGCTGCCCTGTCTGTTGGGAAATATCCCATGGAAAAATTAGACTTTATTTACATGAGAACTCATAATTAAAATGAATATGGAGAAAAATGGTTTGTTGTTATTACGGACAGCAATTAGCAATGAAATAGCTAGCAGGGATGAAGCTCACATTCAGAGATATATTTTTCATTAAAAGTACTTTTCATTTTTCTTGTCAGACAGTACTCTCACACAAATTTTCACTAAGCTTTCTGATCACAACATTTAGAAGAATGGAACAGCTCTTGGTTTACTCTGCTGCTCATATGACCATGGGAGGAAAAAAGTATTTTGCTGAGCTAGAGTTAGACTTTCCTTTCAAACACACATGCTGGAATCTTTGTAAAAACCCTGTAAGTTTAGATTTTGCAGAACATAGTGGGACACAGAATTGCTGGAAATCATGGTAAAGTGTGGCTAGCAGAAAGCCCAGCCTGCTCTTCCTGTGTAAACACTGTTTTGCTGTCTTCCACAATATGCTTGCATATCAGCAATTTTCAGTCATTATAATAATGTTGTCAATCAAATGCAGTTTCAGGAATGCTGGAGCATGAGACTATCCAAGGTGTCTCAGGGGTGAAACCAACAGGGCTGCGGAAGAGAACATCCAGCATTGCCGATGAAGGAACCTACACTTTGGACTCTATTATTCGGCAGCTGAACTCTTTCCATTCAGTGATGTGTCAGCACGGAATGGATCCGGAGCTGATCAAACAGGTTGTCAAGCAGATGTTCTACATCATTGGGGCTGTAACACTTAATAATCTTCTCCTGCGCAAGGACATGTGCTCGTGGAGCAAAGGAATGCAGATAAGGTGGGAGAACTCATGTTACACTTTTCTTGAATGTGCTGCTGGAAATCTTAGTGAACTCTTGACACTGCTGAACATCATTTTAATAGAATAGCAGATACATTTTGACTACTTATTTTTCCACACACAAACAGTTGCAGATGCTGTTAAACTGATTTTGTGAGGTTCAATTAAAAAGAGTTTGGTTAACTTCGGCCAAATCCTACCTGGCTTTCAAGAAAATGTGGTAGAAGCAAAATGAAAGTATTTCATCATCAAGTAGGAATCAGAACTGTAGGTGAAATGTTGGTAGTTGTTTTCTGAGCTTTTAGAGAAGAATAGCAAACATGCCTGCTGTGTTTTTTGTATGCTCGTGGTGCAGTGGATCCCTGCGGTGTTCATCCACACTGTAGTTTGCTGCATCCTGCAGTAAAGCCATCTTATTCTGTTCCTGCATTTGGCATCAGTTGTCCAATGCGTTCTACTGGCATATGCCAGGAAATGTAGCCAAGGCATTTCCAGTCCCTTGAAAAGCCTCACTGTACATTTGCACGGATAAAATCTCATTTGTCTTTCTTCTTACACTCATCACATTCCTGCAATTAAAAGGAACAAAAACAAATAGGAAAAGTTAGTTAGAGGAAGTCTTTGGCCATAGTTTCTAACTGTTTTGAAAATCAAAATTTCCTGCCTTAATCAGAAGGAAACAGTATGAAGACAAAATTACAAGAAATGACAAGTGTGAAGGAAAAACATGTAAGAACAAAGAAGAAACACTGGGAAAGAAATTGCACATGCTTTCAATTTAGCCATAATCAAGCATTAATGTCTTGATACTTTTACCTCTTTGTACAGATACAATGTGAGTCAACTGGAGGAATGGCTACGTGATAAAAATTTGATGAATAGTGGGGCTAAAGAAACACTGGAACCCCTCATCCAGGCTGCACAATTGTTGCAAGTAAAAAAGAAAACAGATGAAGATGCAGAAGCCATCTGTTCAATGTGCAATGCACTGACTACTGCCCAGGTAAGCAAACTCTCATTATCTGTTCTGCTACCACTTTTGAGCAGTTCTCTGCTCTGTTGGTGTTTGCTATGCCTGCCTGCACTGCTGTTGCACATGGATCAAAGATTTCTTACTGTGTTTTGCATTAGTACAACTAAAACAGTTGAAGGTGCAGGGGTAAAAAAAGGGTCAGACCCTTTTGAAGTCTGATGTTCAAGATTTATTTTGAACAAATCTCAATAGATAGTGTAGTGTGTAGTACTATACATAGTCTCTCAGTTTGTGAAAATCCTTAGAGAAAACACTTCACTCAAAGAAGTCTCTGTACTCTGGATAGCTCTGCCTAGGATACTAAGAAATGATCTGTCTGCCATCAGGGTTAGTACCCGGTTAAGTTAATGGACAATTCACACAGAGCTGTTGTCTTGGGGTCTGCAAACAAAAGTGTTAAGTTACTGTACCCATTAGCCTCAGCAGGCTGAACCAAGTGTATCTCAGTAAACAGCTGAAGGCTTCTATTTATGAAAGCTTAGATTTTGTACAGATAAGTTGTGCTTTTTTTTTAACCATGCTACATTTGCATAGAGCATGTATAGGAATAAATGGATCCATCTCAGCCAGACCCAATACAACATCTTTGATGATTACTGAATATTGCCATCAGGAAAAGAAAGAAATTTCTCTATTTCTTTCACAATGGTGTCAGCACTTGCGGTTGGATTGATATAGCTGTTTTTATTTAGTAATTCACATTGCAGGAAAACCTGTTAGTTGTGTACTGAAATTAGAATTCCATATGCTTCAAGTGTTTTAACTTTGTTAAAAAGTGTTGTGGTTTTTTTGGAAGAGAATCATGTAAAAAAACAAAGAGAATTTTTTATAAGTTTTACAAGTTTAACCCGTATTATTATTTAAAGTCTTTGTGATGCAGTTCTTTCCTTTGGTGGTTTTAGTCCTATTTTTAGAGAAATAGCTCACTCTCTTGAAAAACAGTGAAGTCGTAAGACTCTCTTGAGTGGAAGCTACAGAAGGTCATAATTATAGGGTCAAAGTTAGGGTGAGAAATACAGCATGTTTCCAGGGGGGTTCAGAACACAATTAGTTACTTATCATCTGATTTCCATAGTTTGGTATTTTCCACACACGTAGAAATTTAGAGTTTCTGCCTCCAAAGAACACATGTTCTGAAGCAGTCAGTCATATAACATAGCATTAAGCAGGTGATGGAATTCTGTATGAATCAATAAAGCAAAAAAATAACAAATAGTTGTAAAGAATTTTCTTTTTAAAATAGCTTATTTTAAAAGTATATTATTAGTAACCGTGGATGCATCTGTTGATTCATCGGTAAAATGAACCTAAGAATGGTTGTTGTTCTTCACAGATTGTAAAAGTTCTGAATTTGTATACGCCAGTAAATGAGTTTGAAGAGAGAGTCTTGGTATCATTTATACGTACAATACAGGTATGGCTATATCTTTTCATCAAAAATCATTTGACTATTTCTAAGAAACCCTCTGATGAGCCAAAACAGCTTGTGTCCTGAAATACATTCAGGAATCTGATGTAAACTAGGCTTTTTAGCTATGTTGAAAAGGTGATGTCAGCCTTAAAATTTTAAGCAATCACAATTTACTGCCTCCAAGACTTGCATGAAAATGTTAGTTTCGCTGTCAATATGTATGAGATTTTTGGAAGGTGAAAGGGTTTTGTGCTTATACATCTTTGTGTATGTAAACATGCTTGTATGCCAACTTTTCAAGTGGCAACATTTATATATGCAAATTTGCTTGTCAGACCTGTGTCTACATGAGAAGCTCCAACTGCTTTGAAAACTGAGGCCTATGTTCATTCCAAAGTTCTGCATTTAGCCCTTCTAGTTTTATATATATTGATGAAAATGAAACATTTTGAAAACTCCAAAGAAAAGCAGCCAGTAGAGCAAAATGAAAGAAACAAAGATGATCTTTCTGGTCTGTTAGAAAGCAAATTATATTACTAGCAGGATAAGGGAGATTGGGAAGGTAGAACTGAGATAAAACTATAACTGCACTTACTGAAAAGATGGAGTTATCAGATGGTGGGCAAATTCTTCCTTTTGCAAGGAATCTACATATCTTGAGATTGCATTGTAAGGGGAAGATATGCAGAACTGAAAATGACAAAAGTAACTACAATTTAATGGCACAATTATTGCAAATGTGTCTGGTCAAGTTAGCATAGAGTGTGTGTCTGAACACAGGTGTATCTGTAAGCACAGATGAAATACTACCTTTTACAAGATTATTATTATCAATGAAGTGGCTAAATGCTCATGTAATCACTTTCTTATCTTTCCAGATGCGTCTGCGAGACAGGAAGGACTCTCCTCAGTTGCTCATGGATGCTAAACACATCTTTCCTGTTACTTTTCCTTTTAATCCATCCTCTCTGGCACTAGAAACCATTCAGATCCCAGCCAGCTTGGGCCTGGGCTTCATATCACGTGTCTGATCCCAAGGATGTACCATCAGTGTTAGACGGAGAATCGGTTGCCTGATATCTTTACCCATTAAAACATAGTGAGCCACTGAAAACACATTTTTTGAACAGTCTATATTTTCCCAGATCTGTAGTAAAAGTAGCTGGAAAACTACATAACAGCACCACAGATTGAAGGCTAATAGAAAGATGTGCATTTGTGTTCAGTCTTTGCATTTAAGAGGACATCACTGATTCATACATTTCCAGAATATGGAAATCGGGCTTGGACAAAAATTGTGTGTTCAGCTGTCTAGAGACATTTTTAGATCTTTAGTAACATATTTAAATAATGTAAATTAAACTCCATATGTAATCTTCTCATAGGCAGGGACCAACAGGGACAGTCACAGTCCTGAACATGGGAGACTTGAAAGTAAGGCATTTTGTAGTAGAATACACAGTCACTTGGGAGCCTGTTACATTTAATTTGTAAAAACTGGAATGGAGAAACACAAACTGGCAATATTTAAGATGATTTCTTAAACCACTTCCTTATTTATGTCAGTTTGACATAAATTCTAGTGATAAGTCTTATAGCTCACTATATGCTATAACTTAGGTGTTCATTTGTTAGTACTGTGGTTTGCCAAGCATACTAAATCACTGCTGCATATTGTGTTCTTTTAAATGTATGACAGTATCATACTAAGCACTAAAAATAAGATATTTCATTTTTTGTTGTCAACCTTATTTACAGTCCAATGCAGTCTGTTACTTTAACTGGATTTTTGCAAATGGTATCAAATAACACCTGTAGAGGAAAATGGTAACTAAGCACAAGTAGCACACTGGAAATTACATGTTTAGTTATTTTTAAATGTAGTTAGCTAAAAATACAGTATCTTAAAGCAAATGATCAGAAGTCAATAATGATTTTAGTATTTATTTAGATTTTGTAGTCTGTCTAATGTTACTTGTTTGTAGACCCCAGAGATGACTGTGTGTATTTTGAGTAGAATCTCTTTTGTTTTGTTGCCCCTTAAAAAAAAAAAAAAAAAAAAGTATTCTTTCATACTGGAATTTGAGATTAAAAACTTTAATAGAAAATTTCTGCAGTAGCCCAAGGCTCTCATTCTTTGAAAGGTTAACTAACAAGAACGTTAAGTAGGTTTTGACTATGATGCTGTCATTTGACTATGATTCATGCTGATTTAATGGTTGGAGATCCAGAGTGCATAATGAGAAACTGAGTTACTTTGGATATTGCACATCTTACTGGAAAGATTTTTCTGTCTCGCACATCTTGGATCTGCTATATGGAATTCACATTTCACAATGTGCAACATAAGCATAGAAACTTTGTTTAAGGTTCCAATTCTGAACTTTAAAACAGGTAGTTTGTGGTGTATGGCTCAAATATACATGTAAAAAAAAGTCACACACATTGTTCAGTTGCATTGTGCAATATTTTTTTATGTATTATAATAATTAGCAGCTTAGCATTAACATTCATTTCTTTTAATATATTGAGAAATAATCTAGAGGTACACTATCAGACTATTTGGTACTAATCTGCCTGCAAACTCACAGAAAAAAAATTGCTGTTAAGCAAACTGAAACATTTCAGTTATGTTTTACTTGAGAGGTAGACATGCTGTTGGTATATGGTTGCTAAAATTGGTAGTAAAGACAACCTAAACTTTGTCAGTAGCATTTTAAGATGCTCATGTTGTCTTATTTTCAAATGTGTATGCCCCATATTATGTTTGATGGATCATGCCAGTACTTCCAAGAACCTAATACTGCATTGCATAAATGTTTTGAATGATCTTTGCTAAATGATTGAGATTGTTTTCCTGTGCATGGTATACCAAACACTCTTTTTTCAAATGTTACTTGATTTCCGAAACTACGGCTACTGTTAAGTGGCTCCAAATAAGGTATAAGGTAGTTTTCAGGCTATTAGGGGTACTGTACTTGCGAGAATGTAATGGGAAAGACTTCACATCCAGTAACGAGGTTAGGAAAGAAAATACGTGAGAACATGCTGACCTACAAATTTTTTCTTCTATTGAAAAACAAACAATTGGCATTACAGCATGTTCATACTGTAGATCAGGAAATGTATCCACTACTTAAGCATTATTCTATTAAAATGTATGCCTAAATGTATTTTTGTTTATTTTTTAAGTTTGTTTACCTGTAAAAAGCCTTATTGTATCTTGTTTCCTTAAAAAAAGTAGTGTTTAGTAATTTATAGTTATTATCCTTAAACTCAGTGGTTTGACTGGTATTACTTTTATATCACATTAAAAGTATATGCTGCTTGACATGTTTTAAAGGAAAATATTTTTAAGTTGGAATAGATGTGTAATTGGTAATTCATCTAACATTTTACATGGCAGTATTTTTCATGCACTTTTCAGAAGTAAAATTTTAGTGTCAGTGTATAATATATCCTTCACCTTAGGACTAATATCTCTTTAACCATGGAATATAATGCAGAATTATTTTAACAACTTTTTTTTCCTTTGAATCATTGTTATGCTCTTTTAATGTGGACATATCTTTTATATTTTAATTTATTATCTATTGCTATGATAGATTTTATCAGATGCTGGAAAAATACTTGTCAATGACCCCTTAGAATTATATACAGTTATTCTAGAGATTTTGCACAATAATTACCTCATTCAGTTTGGTGTATTTTTATTCCAGTGATCATTTTATTCTGATATTTAGGACACAGTCTTCTATCCAGATTTTGAAAGTCTTTCAGACTTCAATTTGGGATGGAATGTGAAAGTGCTTAAGTCCGTTAAATGCGATTAGTCTGTTTTATCTATCACAAGAAAAAAACCAGGATCAACTTCAATGCTGAAAAGTGGATTGATATCCAATAACATTTGTTCCCAACTTGGAAACACCAGCATTTGCAATTTGAAGGTCTGCATAATTCGGTTTCAACTGAACACATTTCAAATAGCGTACAAAAACTATGAGTAAACACTTGGGTTTTCTAAGATACCGATACATCATGTGATAAATAAAAGCCTTTAAACATAGGTTTTCACTCGATGCCACTACAGTACATAGATGAAAACCAAAACATTGTCAGAATGACCTGAGCTCTGATCTGTTGTAGTGTCTGATGTTGTACTTAGTAAATGTATGCATCATAAAAACTGTAGCTTAATAGCTATCACTGGAAAATGTCCAAATAAAAATACAACTGTAAGATTTGCTCTGGACTTTTTTGGTTGCTTGGTTGGTTGGTTGGTTGTTCATAAGCTGCGTGCTGGCATAGTCCCCAGATGATCACTTGGGTTCGCTCTGCCTTCATGGCAGACTTAGCGTTGACTGCCACCGGAGTTGGTTAAAATCTGAGGATTGCATAAATACACACCCAGATACCAACAGTGTGCCATAAACTGCTGTGAAATTATTTGAAAATCTTTTGTTCGACATAACCCACTTCCGCTAGGATATTTGGTCACCAGATATTAACTGTTACTGAAATAAGAATTAAGATTTGTACTTTGCTAAAGCATTGTCTTCTGTGCCATGGAAGCTCTTTGGTGCCAGGCAGGCAGGGAGGGCTGGTGGGCCCGTGGGCATGTATCCGCCTGCCGAAACCTGGTACGATGTTTATTCAGATCTTCTTCCTCGGGAAGGCTATTTAAAGATAAAGCCTACTAGTGCCCTAAGCTTACTAAATGCATTCCGAGTTGTTTATTTTTCTCCAAGTTTGCTGGAGAAACTCCTTCATGGTGTCTTATGGAAGGTGACGAATGTTTCTGTTGTTTTTCCCTCGTCGGTCAGGAATGGCTCCCCTCGTGATCCCTCTGGCAGCTGGAGTGGCCATTATTCCTAACGCCTAGGGGTGCATCCAAGATGCCAGCTTTGCCAGTATGGTAACTGGGGCCACTCCTCATCTCCACCATGCTTCTGTACCTGTCAAAATGAGGAGCTAGCGTGCAAGCTGTCCGCATAGAGGGCCGCACACAGGAGTGCTTTAACCGGGCGCCGCGGGTCACCGAGGCGAGCAGAGCGCCTCAGCCGTGCCTCCGGCGGGGAACCGCCTCCCTCCTCCGCGGGGAAGGCCCGGCCTCGGCTGGGACAGGCGCAGGAGCCGG